TGTATTTCTGTAACGTTCCATCTGATCTGGGCTGTGTTGGTTTACAGCAAGACTCTTGCATTCCCAATATGCCTGGAAGAAGTATTCATTCCGAAACGCATGATTATTTTAGTAATTATAATCCGACAAAATTAATCACTTTTTTTGGTGATTTTAGGTCGCTTGATATCGTAATTTTTAACTTGCTTTATGCGTATACGGATCTACCACCACAAATACATAGTGGAAAGAAAATTCTGAAACATATTGATATTTAAATTAATATGATAAAAAATAAAAAATTTAGATCAGTCTTTTTAAGGAATTCAAAGAATTATATCACTTAAAATAGTCCTTTTTATTATTGCTTTAAGCGTAAGAATATAGTAGATGAATACGTAGTTAGTTAGTCTCGCTCTAACAGATGGTTACGTCAGACTTGGACGACGCTGCAATTCTCACTTGGCTGGCTTTTTATCGCGTAAACTTAAATAATTCAAAATCTCTTGCTAATCTATACCATGTCGTATCAGTGACAAATCTCCTATAATTCCATCGTCGTTAAAATGTTTAAAGCATGTGCTTATATGAGCATTAGACTTGAACGTGCAAACCCAGTATGTTCCCCAGCTTTTTATTTTAGACGGGTTGTTTTAAAATTTAGGGGGTGACAGATATTTTGTTATTAGTGACAAAACTATTTGCAACTTTTAAAAATGTGTTATGTTCTTGACTGATCATCTTCACCGGCATATAGGCCACTTTCAGAATATTCAAATAATTTTCATTTAGGTTAAGAAAGTTGTGTTGAAATTTTAGGGGGTTTAACGAGGCAACAGAATTGTTTGTGCAACGGAAGTGGGGCAAGAAAAACTAGATTATGTCTATACTGAATTGACTTGGGGTTACGTCGCTTCACTTCTCACTTAGCTGCTTTTTATTGCGTGAATTTAAATTATTCAAAATGTATATTATCCTGTATCAGTGACAAATCTTTTTCTCATTGCCCTTCATCTTACTCGAAATGTAGTTATTTGAAAGTGTTATTGTTAAAAAGGTGCTTCAGATAGAGGCGAAACTTCATTTACACTATACTATAGCGAGTCGGACTATTCAAGAAATATCAATCATCATTACTGCAAACCTACCTAGCACTGAAATCATAGGACGAATTCTCGATTACAATGCCATGAATGGTATTAAGAAGTGTACAGGGTTTTCATAAAGTCTCATTACAATTCCGATATTGTTATGAATACACTTCTCAATATATCTAACCAGGTTTGTTTTATTTTGATTAATGTCAATTAAATTCTTTTCTTCATCATTTAATCACCTGGAGCCAAGAATAAGGTATATATGTATATATGATATCGATAAATTCCATTTGCAATTTGCAACATTTAAGACGTTATAAACATCTGTATATCTATCATTCGGACAATGCGTTATACGAAATATTCGTAACATGATAAATATTTTCGTGACTTATTATTAGGATAACTGAATTTTATACATATGCCTATCATTAGTAGCACGGACCACTTCAAAGTTATAGTACGATGCGCTTCACGTATAGATAAATCCCCAACTTGGCAATTCATTGGCGGCGCGCCTCTTAACCCGGTGTTCCTTATGGTCCGTCAAATACGATATATGCCCAGCATTTGTCGGGCGATGCAAAACAAATTTCTTTTGCTAATTTAGTTCAGTACTTTATGAACACTGTATAATAAGGGATTTGCAATATACCTTGATAAGCATGTAATAAGCATGTATATTTAGTATTAATGAAATGTGATGTACAGAAGTATGTTAACGAGAATATATTATAGTTTCTGATCGCCGTATTTATATATTGGCATCAGGATTACTTTTAAGAGCACTCAAGATTTGAATTGCAGACTAATCAAGTACCGCCAATCCAATTGATACAAAACTATTTCAAGTGAAATTAAAAACACAATGTAAGACGAGAAAAGCATGGCTTATAAACGGCAATAAATACGCGAGTCAGCATTTGTCCAGTGCAAAACGCCTTCTCGCCTAAATTCGATTGTGTAGTCACACACTCAATGCAGGTGATGTGTAAAAGGCCTTTAAGCGATGGAAATTATAGATTTACATTTGAGTGTTTTTCAGCTGTAACATATAAGGTGTCTTAGCTGTATTAGGCCAGTTGTTTGAATATCTTATAATTAATAAATAAATAGATCGCCAACTGGGAATTTCTAGTTCTCAATGTCTATTTCGGATGTATATATACAGCAGTAGCCGGTGAAGTTTTTTAAGTAGGGCCTAGATAGTAAAATAGAAAGGGTCTCAAAGCTCACCAACCATCACGTTGGTATAGTATAATTTATAGTTTGTGGAGTAAAATATATTAAAAATGATAATGGGTCGTTGATGTTTCGTTTATTTTTCCTGAATTTGAAAATCAGTCCTTTGTTTCCATACGACCTCAAATATTGACGTCGAATAGGTTTCATTATAATTAGTTTAGTCTAGACATCTCATTGTAAAGTTCGATAAAAGTGTCATTTGGGACTCATTTTCAATCATAATTGTCCTTCAGACTCTGTTTTTTAGCATGAACCATTCGTCAAATAGAAAAATCTAGATCAGAAATAAATAAGGGCTTATGCACAATCCCTGTCTTACTCCCTGTCTGTTATGATATGAAGGACTTAAACGATGGTTATAAATATACTGTTAGATTCAATTAAATGTTACAGTTTTTATAGTAGCTGTCAACTTGAAATTGAAATGAAAGAAAAATTGAGCGGTGTGAGGATTAAGAAGATTAAATCGACCTGCTAGAAATTAAGTCAATAAAGAAATTTAGGTGAAAAATATATCATTTGAATTTTTAGGAAGACAAGAATGCGAAGAATGAATCTCCAATTCCTATTTCATTTCTTATAAGAAATTGTTCGCACCTCCAACTATAAAAAAGTTAAAAGCGGAAAGCGTCAAACTATGCATTTAAAGTACAGGTTTAATTTTTTGAAATATAGACGTTGGAGGAAGGTGCTAATGTACATTATTATTCCCGGATTACCACTTCATTTTTATCGAACTTTGGTTCGAGAAAAGGGTCTCACCTAACTTATAAAGAGGTAAGATACTGATAGAAAAATTGCAATATACCTCTGCTATTGTTTAGGATTTATATGCATGAAGTTGATTCTTTCGATATGGACGTTAGAAAATAGCAATTGACTAGAAATTCAAAACAACGTCTATGTTTACTACGACTTATTATTTTATTATTCTTATATGAGTTTACCTCAGAACAAATCTCTGCTCAAGCAGTTAAGGTAGGTATGGAACTACCTTCATTAGGAAGGACTGTGTTTTTTCGGCTTGCATTGGCACTTAAATTTGAAACACTTTAGGTGAGGTTATGGGTAAGGCATTTGAATCCGCGATTTCAATTACCTAGCGATAAGCTTTGGGCCAGCAAACTCACAGGTCAGAAATTTATTTTTAATGTTTTATTTGTTGAATTATAATATATATAAGATTGTGGTTACCAGTAATTCCGCGGTATGTTTTGATTTGCACAGTTTGGGCATGTCAAATTCATAAACCGTTTTTCTTGAAGCTATAAAGGTTTAACAATGTAAAGTACCTGATCGTTCTGATTGGTCAACGATGCGGAAAAGTCCAAATCAACCCGATTTTGAAATAAATTTTTGCATTTTTGGGCTTCATGGCGGATTAAGCAAGCGAGATACGCACTTGAGTAATTTATTTTGCTAAACATACACAAAGGTAACTAAACACACTTCACCTGTTTGTCTGGCGCACGCTGTGTAAAGGTTGACCCCGGGCAACAAAACCTATCATTTTCCAAATTACTTCCGTGAAAATGAAGAAATGTATTCAAAACTTGAACTTCTGTTTCTGTATGATTGTGCCCGAAAGTTTCAATAATCTGGGACGCTTTGCAGAAAAGTTATTTACCTCTAGAGCAGGGGGGGGCAAGGTTTTCGGACCAAGGGCGAAAATTTGGCCCACATAGACTGACGGGCCATGTAAGTCTGATGTGAAAAGTTACATTTTACTCGCAATCTCAACAAATTCCTTAAGCTATTTTTTAGTTGAAACCTCAAAATTTGGTTTCAGTTTGGTTGTGAAAGCATCAGGTGGGCCAAATTGAATATCTCAACGGGCCGGAAATGGCCCGCGGGCAAAAGTTTGCCCATGTCAGCTTTAAAGTCTAGATTTGAGAATCTGTTTTAAATGACAAGGATTCTGTTTATTTTTGTGGTCAAGCTGTAGCAACATCTACGTATCTTTGATTTTTATCTAATCGCGAAAAAAAAAACTATAAATTAGTTTATTTTGTAAGTACGGACCCCGTATGACTGTGAACGGGTAATATACTTAAGAAAAAAAACTTTTATATATAATATTTGAGGATCTACAATTGTTTTTTTGGGGAGGAAAGTAGCAAATTTTTTCGTTTGGCGTTTTATATTTATTACACAAATAAAGCTGTGGCATTGCCCGTTTTATTTCAATTATATCTTAACCCGATTTTTATACACTTTCGATTTTTTCAAACTCTAAAAACCGTTTACATCGCCAAATAGAAATTCTAGTTCTTACTGTATATTTCTAATGTATATAGTTATATAGATACAGCAGTGTTCAGCAAAGTTTCTTATGTGAGGCCCAAATAGTAAAATGGAAAAGGTTTCAAGGCCTACCAACCATCATGTTAGTGACAACCTAGCTAGCCTAAAATTAGAGAGTTTTTGCGATTTCCACAATAATGTGGATGAAAGTAATGTATGATCGTTCGATATATGACCAATTTGGCAAAAATTTTATATGTAATGTTAGATTTATAGAATTTCTTTATATATCAGTACCCATAACTGAAATTTATTGGAGACCAATTAGAAAATGCTCGACGGCTCACGATTGGGCCTACAAACTTTATACTTTATAGTTTATTCCTTCACACTTACACTTCTATTTGTATATATATGTCCTATTATTTATATTTACAGCCATAGTAAAGTCTTTTATACTAGCCCTACAATCTAGTAATATAATGGAAACTTTGAAGATTGCTTCAATGGTGATTATCAGCCTTTGGATTCAACAGATTGAGTGTCAGAGTGGAAGCGGAGGTTTGTGCATGATATTATTTTTTGCGAAAAAGTTTTACACTTTTATTTTAAGCAAAGCCTTAGACCAGCGGTTCCCAAACTTTTTAAAGCTTAGAATCTGTCAGGTCTTGCGTCCCACCTCAAAAATAACAAGCTAACAATAAGCTACAAATAATAGATGGTAGTATGTTTTTTTTTCCAGAAACACGTTGAAAATACGTGGATAGGACGTAAATATCCAAATTAAAGAAATGTAAATATCCAAAATAAGGCGTGCAAGATCAAATCCTATTATTTTTCAATTGGCTCCACGTCTCCTCATTACATCATTTGCTTTAGATAAACAGTCATTGATACGTAAACAGCTATAATATAGCTGCTATAGTATTATTGTGCAAGAGTGGAATTTTTAAATTTTACCACTGTCCGGTTTATTTCATTATAGATTAGTGAATTCAATTATAGAATGTATATAAAGTAATTTTTATCTTAAAAACTCATTTTAAATTTATTTCAATCAATTCTGATGCAAACTTGAACCATGGATTTATAATGGAAGCTAACTTTCATTCATGCTTGATTCAATATGTTTTTTGTATAAATGACGGAATTATTCAGGGGTTGAGTCAATGTCTAAATTCTAAGATTCATGTATGATGAGACATTCTATCACGTTCACATGTGCTAAGCCAAGGCGGGCCACGGTTGCGAGATTGAAAAGCCGCTATAATTTTTGAGGAGGCCTTGTGGGTCGCAGTAGGGAAAACCCAAAATGATCAAAATATTGCGATAATAGTTTCCACATGGCCCACGCTTGGAAATAGAGGTATATTTTTAATAAAACAGTGGCACAAAAACTCAAAAATGTTATGCCAAAATGATCAAAATATTGCGATAATAGTTACCACATGGCCCACGCTTGGAAATAGAGGTATATTTTTAATAAAACAATGGCACAAAAACTCAAAAATGTTATGCCAATGCATGTGCTTGGCCAGATATTTTTGTTTTCTGATGCATGGACTTGATGATGGAGGAAGCCGTGATCGAACTGCGGTTAGGTAAACCACCCTATGACGGCAAGTAGTCCAGCAATTCTTTTGCACATAATTTCTCCAACGGGATTCGAACCTGCGAATTTGCACGAAATGTTTCCGCGGGCTGCATGCGACCCGCGTTTAGAGATTCGGGGCACCCCGTGTTAAACAATGTCAAAGTATATAAGTTTATGTTGCATATGTATGTATAGATACCCAAATTATGGTTGGATAACTTCTATGAAAAATCTTCTGAAATTTTGAAATCTACAATTCAATTTTGTAAATAAAATTCTCATCTATAAAACTGCTTGCTCAGAGACTTGTTTTTAGCCGTTGACTTTAAAGGAATTAATCAATGTTCAAAAAAAGCAAAAAATATCCTTTGGGCAAACATAATTTCCAATAATCGGTGTTTACACGCCTACATTCGCGCTTGCCTTTATTGAACGACAAGCTGTTGGATCGATTGTAATTGTATTTTACTCTAATCGTGTTATGAGGTGGACAAGCTGACCCCAATCATCGTAAAATTACTTTTTCCGCACTTTAGCGCATGTTCTTTTCTCGTCGAACGATGTAAGATATGGAATTAGATACGCATATTTACAGAAGTTAATAATTAAAAATATTTTAACCCAAAACGTTAGCCGTTTCATGCTGTAGGTCTAATCAATGAATGACATAATCAATCACCTAAGGCAGTGCTTTCTCAACGTTTTTCAGTTCGCGGTCCACTTTTATTGCCATTTTTTCGGTGTTCCCAAAGTATTCGTACCAAGATGGCGCACAACCTGAACATAGCATGTGTACCAGGTTAGGATTGTTCAGGTTGTGCGTCACCTTGGTACGAATATTTCCGGAGCGCCATTTTTTCCGTGCGACCCACAATAGGATACTAATATATGAGGAACGAAATAATGTATCCCCATGTCATTTACTATCAATGCAAAACTTGCATATTGGATATTGGATATTATCAGATCGAGTCTGATAACGACGCACAATTCAAATTGTTACTTTGTTACTTATCGATCTTGATCGGTAAGTATGTTGATAGGTATTTGTCTGTTTGTCTGTCTGTTAGATGCACACGATATTTCACGAAAGCGAGGTTGAATATGTTCCAAATTTTGCATGTGCATTCATCATATCTCGGACCAGCAGCCAATAGATTTTGATGAATTATGTCGTATAATTAGCGAGTTATCAATTAATTAGTGATGGGACACGTCACTATAGTATAGAGTAATGAATCGAAACCGCAGTTTCGATCGATAAATCTTCGGTCTCCGACCGATATTCTTGTTTCATAATTGATAATGCCACAATTTCACGATCCAATTGACGACTGTATGTAACATTAGGAAATACTTCCCATATATCCGATCTCGTGACCCATCTTGTATAGTTCCCACTGGTTTGGAAGCACTGACTTAAGGCAATGATTTCGATGGTAGAGTCCAGTGGGTCCGGTTGTTTCCATTAGAATCAGAGAGTCAAATCAATATTTACATATTGTTTCAATATAATCAAATTACAATTACGTTTGTCACTAATATTAAACTGGTAACACTTTAAAGATCATTTTAGTTTTCCCAGTACTTCTCTTTTAAACAACATTATTTAATGATATTTTATTAATTAAATGATGTTTTATTTTGCATAAGACAATTGAAACTATTGTTTAAGGGCAGGGGTGTGCAACCTTTAAATAACACAGGAGGGTTATATAGATTTAACAGGGTGAAACCGCGGGCCGCCCCTTTGTTTTACCTGGGCCTTCTGGTAGTTGCAGGCACAAAACATTTGATTATCGATTTTATGGCATGCATACGTTGTTTGCTTCGCACAAGCTAGCTGTTGAGGCATTGTAATGGATTGTAATTTTTTCTTGTGGGCCGCAGGTTTTACACCTCTGGTTTAGGAGTATCCTCATGCCTTTGGAATGTTGTATTTGGGTTCGCTCGATTACCAAAACTGAATTAGGGATATATTGAATACTTTACCAAGTGAACCCTAAAATAAGCTCAATAATGGGCTGAGGCCAAACTAGAAAATTTAATCCAAGGTTTTCACACAGAGGACGTTTTATGAGATGCCACTGGAGCGTAGCGAAAGAGTGTAGCTCAAATTCCTGTTTCTGAAAAAGCCATAACCTATATTCAGAAGCGCTTCTACTTTTTTCATTCAATTTTATTTCAGATCTATGTTATTCCTCAGCAATCAATTAATAATCTTTATCCTTTACAGGGTTTCTCCAAACTATTTTACCACGCCCCACTCGGCACGGCCAAATATTTTCGCGACCCTCAGGAACTGAAATAAAAATAGAGTAAAATTTATTAATACAGAAGATATTAAAAAAATAAAAATGCTTCTGATGAGACCGATGTTCTTGCATTCTTTCCACACAAAAGATCGAATCTTGGCTCTATTTCGATGATGATGGGTTTCGGTACTAATTCCAATTCTTTCAAATTTGATCAATATTTTGTTTTACCGCAACTAATGTCAACAAATCATTTAACGCAACCTCAATAAGCCCTTTCGCGGCCCACTGGGGGCGGGACTCCAACTTGGAGTAGATCTGGTATAATATATCAAATCTAAGTCGGGTTAAATCTAAATCTAAATCAAAGTTTGTCCAGGTTTCAATTTAATTTGCGAAAATGTGCCCTCATACTCCTGTTTATGAAAGTGCCGTGATTCTATTTTTATCACTTGATTTTATTTCAGAAAATTGGGGCTGTGAGAACATTACGTTGCCTTTCCACTGCGACGATGGAACATGCGTAAAAAGGAGTCTATTCTGTAATGGAAAACCAAATTGCCCGTAAGTTTGTGTGTTATAATATGCATCCTAAGTGATTGAAGACTCTTCCTGAACACTAACACAAATATATTTTTGTAACGTTCCGTCTGACCAAGGTCAGACTTCCTCAGACATACATAGTTCAACACATATATTTGTGTTATTGTGCAGCAAGACTCTTGAATCACTTAGGATAGTTATCTTTACTCTTTACTCTATATCATTGCATTATATGCATACGGTTCCACCGGTGCAAAAGCATAGAAGACGGTGAAATAGTTGGTCTTGTAGAAACCTAACATGACACGTTTTACATGAACCTAATACAACACATACGCTGGTCTTCACTGCGGTGCACGTCACTCATTCGCTGCGTTGTGTAACATCTACTATAAAGCAACAAAAAATGATACGAGAACATGTACGTGTGTCCCTACGTAAGCTACATTAACGTGACACGTTTTACATGAACCTAATACATTACTTCCGGAACGCCAAATAATACGCTGGTCTTTGCTGTGGTGCAAGTTACCCATTCGCTGTGTCGTGTGACGTCTAAAGCTGACATGGTAAACTACGACCCGCGAGCAAATCCGGCCCGTTGGGTAGCCCCATCTGGCCCGCCTGAGAATGCGACAACCAAACTAAAACCAAATTTGTTGAGATTGCAATTAAATTTAATTTTGGCACGAGACTTGTTGTTTTCCACTTTTGCATTTGTAACACTGTAAATATTGTTCATAAAATGTAACTTTTTACCTCACACGTACTTCTCACATACTTTTGAAGGTCCTCTATTTTTGCGGAAAGAATTGTTTGTTTTTATTGTAGTTTTAACCTCGAATGAGAAATCTAATGGGCCATTGAATTTTTGTGCAATAATAGTGGTCCACGAAAGAAAAAAGATTGGGAACCACTGGTCTAGTGCCTTATTTAGATCACATGTGCAAAAAATACGAGTAGTTAGTAAATTCATTAAACATTTTGTAAGAACTAGATATGGCTTCATAATTATGACTAGCAGATGTATAGACTGATATGGGTAATCCTGAAGTATGCGCACCAAGATATCGCACAACCTGAACACTAACCTTGTACACAACCTGAGTTCAGATTGTGGGTTATTGCTTTACATGAACGATTCTATTGAGATTTATTTGGTGTTATCAAGCCTCAATCTCACCCAGGGTGTAAAAAATTGGGTGGGCAGAGCCAATCCGGAAAGATTCCTCTTTTTCCTTACATAGTGAGACATCAGTGGTTGATTGTACATGGCTGCGTTTGCATCGAAGGACTCGAGCGAGCGCCTATAAAAAAAGCATACAGCCACAGCGTCTGTGGGAATTAACTCTCGTATGAGTTTTTATTCATTTCGCGTTCTGGGAGGGTATTTAAAAATTACGCAATCAATTCTCTCATGGACTTTCTGAGAGCAAAAAACCTATTAAGAACTTATTTTCAATTTTGTTGGTGAAAACATTTTCTGTCTGATATTGTTTTCAAGCTCCCAAAGTTTTAAACTTTTGTTTTTTAATCTGGTTGAAATTAAAAGGAATTATTTGAATGAAAGCTGTCAAAAATGTCTGAAGATCACCCCAGAATTTTAAATAATTTGAAAAGAAAATATCGATAGCCGTTCCATTTATATAAAATATTTTGACGAATGGAATTACGAAATCGAAAGCAGCCAAAGAATATATTAAGATCAATTCAAAACTGAAAAAATACTTTAATAAAAGTAAATACCAGTGTCTAAATAGGGTTTAATAACTTTAACATTTTATTACGTCTTTACGTCACAAGGCAATCTTGTGATCAGTGATCTGGAAACCGGGACGTATTTACAATCATTTATAAGACTTATTCGCATTACTGCATATAATTAATACGTTGGAACTTGCCACAAAGCTCCAAAAATGGCTGTAGTGCCATATAAAATACCCCCATAGCAGGTTTCTTGGGCCATTGTTCTATACCCCAAAAAGGGAGTGATAAACACTGAAGTGGTGAGCAGTCAGTAAAGCAGGGGTGCACAACTCAAATGAGGATACGTTACAAAATTTTCAAAATAATCTTGTCGCGTGCCACCCACAATTGTGGTATTGTAAATTAACTCCCGTAAAACAAACAAATTTGCAATAACAATACATAAAAACGAATATCTATTTATTGAAATAATTCAATGTCCTGAAAAAAAACTGCTGATTTTGATATAAACGTGATATTTTATTGTATATCATAATTTTTTTTTTTTTACAAAACCGTTCGCGTGCCACGTTTGAGCGTATGGCATGCCAAATTTGGCACGCGTGCCCCGTGTTGTGCACCCCTGCAGTAAAGTAAAGGGTTGAAAAAAATGAAAACCATTAATTGATATCAAATTCTCTGGAATTGAAGATGTACAGATGTAAATTCCTACGTTAGTGAGGCTTTAAATATTTGATCTTTCTGTCTATAAAATTAGGCATCGGTCTTTTGTTTTCCTGTATATTTGCTTTCAAAATTTATAATCTTGCATTTTTATTTCAGTGACGGTTCAGATGAAACTTTGCACGATCCAATGATACACAATGGTAGCCGTGGGATAGCCTGTCAGTCCATTAGAAACGTCAGCGATTCAATTTGCTTCTTAGATGAAAGATATCGTTGCGATCATGATATAGAATGCATGGGAGGTAAGTTTTTATATGTCTAAGTTTTAAGTATAAATGCAAAACTTTTGGCACTCCCGTCCGAAGTCTATAACATAAAAACTGACTTTAAAAACATAGCATCGAAGGTTTTCTCTGTCGCCTAGTTGATTCAAACCAAACGTCATAAACATGGCATGAAAATTTCCTTCTTCCGCCTAATTAATTAAAATCACGCTTCCTAACATGGCATCAAAGTTTTCTTTTGCCGCCTAATTAATTCAAGATTTGGCCAAACCGATTTGTCAGCCCAATAACATTCTTCGCGTGAAAACATTCGAATGATAATTGGGCAATTCTTTACGAGCAAACTCGCAGGCCCGACTCTACGGCAAGTCTCGACATGTATTTTGGTAAGAGCTGAAACTGCTGCCTCCCACAAATTGCCTTTTCTGACAAAGACGGATATATATAGCCGGGCCATGTAAGGCCAGACAGGTCAGAATCTCTTATTCAGGCTTGATCATATGAAGATGTCCCTCCCTCCCAGGTTAGATAATGTGAAGATTCCCCCTTAATAAGATCCAGAGTGAATATATACAGGCAGTTATGGCACAATATCTATATTGATATACTATTGTTTAGCACAACCATTGTTATATATATTGATAACTATTATTACAAGTCGGTTCATATTTGTGATTCAGTCCCTGTGCTGTAAAATTTGCCTGTATAACAGTGCGGGGTCGTGTACAACGACCAGTTCAATTATGTGGTTTACAACAAGCGTGCGTGGATTGGCGAATAAATTGTTTGGCGCAATAACTTGAAAATTATAGCAATCCGATTATAATGCTATATAATCCCAGACTAACCTAATCTATATGGATTAGTTGAATCTGAATTTGCTTTTCTTGAAATCGATGATAAAACAATTTGCCATATATGTTTACTATTTATTATTATTGCAGCGCTTGATCATTGGTTCTCAACATTCATTCTTTTATGGCTTATTTACAACGCCAAAATAAAACTTGCAACCACAACCATTTAATAAAAATTTCAAGTATCATTATAATATTTTTTATTATTACAGACTATACATAGGTGAATGATCAAACTAATTCTTCTGTGTATTTATCAGCTTGTCGAGATGAACTTTCTAACCGTAGTTCAACCTTAACATTCACATCAGCAGATAACTAACTATAAATTTCAGCAATACATTTTGACCTTGTGGCCTACTCTTCTGTAGACTCTATGAAAACGTCGAAAACGTCGTCCCATTTTTAAAATCCATCACGTTCGGACCACGCTAGATAATGCGCTAGATCACTCTTAACACGACTCTAAATAAGATATTATTCATTACTAAAAATGACTATGGGTCGTAATCTTTTAATCTCATTTACTAAGCCAAACATGTTTTTTTCACGCAATTCATTTTAAAGGCTTTGTACAATCATCTAGTTATATATAGGAATGCTACAAACATGTCACAATTTTGACAAAATCTTTCCGTTTTAGGAAGGCAGATAGATAACTATGAGCGGGATTATTGCATGGATTTTTTGTACATAGCCACCTTCAAAAAAAAAAAACATTTCCGCCAACGTTTAAAACGAGAATACCGGTTGGAGACCGAAGACTTATCGATCGAAACTGCGGTTTCGATTCATGACTCCATAGTAACACCGCGTGTCCCATCACTAATTAATTAACAACTCTCTAGTTATACGACATATTTCATCCAAAATCAATAGGCTTCTGGTCCGAGATATGATGAATGCACTACAAAATTTGGAGCAGATTCAACCTCGCCTTCGTGAGATATCGCATTGATCTAACAGACAAACAAACAAACAAACAAACAAACAGACAAACAGACAGACAAATACCTTTTAATATACTAACGATCTTAATATCGATAAGTAATAAGGAATTTAGTAGTTATCTAGTTAGGGTTTGGGTTAAGGTTAGGAATGCATTTCCGCTGGAAATTCAAATTATCAAATCATTCGAAACCTTAACTCCTACTAGATAATCACTAAAGTTGTTATTTTGAAAAGTGGCGGGGTATGTTTTCTTCAGAACCCACATTTTTGCATTCGTTGCTGAGACTTTGTGAAAAAGACCCGATAGCTTGACTTCTTGATTTCCCGTTACCCGTCAATAGGCATTGATTTGACATACGATTAAGCCATTTTATGGCCTTTTATCTCAACCGGGACATTGTAAAATCCTATTTAATTTCATGCTTATTAGTGTTTTTTTAAATAAGTCTTTCTAATGTACGGTCTTACCGTTCACTTAGCCTTTGCTATACTTTCTAGGCGAAAAATAAATAAAACAATTCGTTGAAATCACTTTAAAAATACTAAAATATTGAATAAAATTTTGAGTTTAGTCAAAAACTATCTTTTCATGAACTTCAAAATGAACATAGTTTATGTAAGTATGTATATTGAGTCCACGGACGAGAGTCGTGGTAACTTAAAAAAAAACGGCGCCCCAGAAGTGTGTGTTCTAATATGGAGGTAACTAATTTTGTTCGCCTACTTTACATTAAGTTGTGTAAAGGGACTGAAACCTATGGACAGCGGGTATATTCACTTGGCTAACACAGACAGTCCCCGTACTCATAAAAGAACTAAAACAAGGAAAATCGGAATAAAATTAGGGCCTAACCCTAATCTGGTACACACACTACGGGAATACCTAAAAAACTAATATTCTAAATAAAATTTCGATTTAAGTCAAAAGTAATCTTTTCATGTGCTTCAACGTTGATTTTTTTAAATAATCGTTATTTTTTCATTTATTTCCGTCAAATCGTTCCGACAACTTCTCCCTCAGGATGGCCCATTAGCATTTAACATTATTTCGAGTCTTTTAGGACGTCAAACTTGATAACAAAGCACGTCAATCACGTCTAGTTGATATTTATTTAGTTGAAGTGGATAAAAGTGCTATCGCAGGTGACCTAACCCTAATCTGGTACACATACTACGTTCCGGTGTCCGCCATCTTGGTTCACATACTTCGGAGTACCTATTATTTTCACAACATAGTGCAAATGCACATTGTATATACAGAATAAAATAAAATTGTATCGCATCATAAAAGAACAGTACTGGTTACCACCGAACAGCGACAATTATGAATAACATTAATTAAATTATACTATATAAAGTAAAATAGAGAATCCAACATCATAACAAAGGTTTGGCCTATGAATACGTTCAAACGACCGGATATCTCCAGTATTCACTAGCAACAAACGATTGGCGCTTCGTAGGGCTGGGCATTTCAAATCGAATTTTCGTATCAAATCGAATAGTAAATTATTCGAATCAGTTCAGGGCAAAATTTTGAATTGCCGTCATCTTGTGTTTTTTTTCCGCCAATGGTCGAGATGAATTTTCAAATTTTTTTTTTGAAAAAGCCATATTTTTTCAATGCAATTCCGACATATGACTTTTCTCTGTAGTGATTTATTGATAAAAACGTGTTTTCATTGTGTGGACGCTCAGCAATCTGTCTGAGTGATGTATTCTCTGTTTTCAGTAATTCATGTGTTGACAGGACCAATTACAATAAAAAAGACTCATACAATTACATATTTCTCATTTACTCCCGAGTATTCGAGATTCGATTCGAAAAACATACTTGATTTGATTTTGAAATCATCAGATATTCGAAAATGCCCAAAATGTCCAGTCCTATTGATTTGGAGTTCTTTCGCCCAATTAATAGCAATACGATTTGTTGCAGGCGTGGATGAATGCGACTGTGAATCAACTTTTCAATGCGACAACGGAGAATGTGCTTTAAAAATCATGTTTTGTGACGGCATAAAGGATTGCACTGATGGAACAGACGAACACGTATATAACAGGTCAGAATGTAGATACAGTATAAGAAAATTGGTACTCCCAAAGTATGTGAACCAAGATGGCGAACAACGTAACGTAGTATGTGTACCAGGTTAGGATTAGGCCATAATTTTATTCCAGTTTTCCTTATTTTAGTTCTATTACGAGTTTGGTAACTAGCCAAGTTACTCTCGTAGTATTTGTACCTGAAATTATGTCCTAACCCTAATCTGGTACACATACTAGGTTCCTGTGTCCGACATCTTGGTTCACATATTTCGGGAGTACTGAAAAATATAGTCGTCCGTTGTTCTCTCTAAGAAGTTCGCCATTATTTTATACATATAGAATCAGTAGCTTCTGGCACTTGGATGGTCTGCTGTATTCTCGCTCAGAGATCTCGCTTCTTCATTTCTGACTGAGTGCGCGCGACCTTTCTTCGAGCAAATTTCTTTAAAAATAAGAGTCCCCAACCTCATTCGTTCTCTCTAAAAAGTTAGTCATGCAGATAAGTTATGGTGTTTTTCAAAAAAAAGTCGTTAACCATCGGTCGCACCTGTCCCACGCTTGTCTCATTTGTTCCATACTTAAAGGTTATGCATTAGATGGGCTGTTGAAGGGGAAACTAGATAGCGATCGGAGACCGCATGTTCGATCTTGCGATTTCGATTCCCTTGCTCTGACTCAATAGAAACACCGTGGCTTTTGGTCCGAGATATGATGAATGCACAGGCAAAATTTGGAGCAGATTCAACCTTGCTTTCGTGAGATATCGCGTGACATACGAAAGTGAAACAAACAAACAAACAAACAGACAAATACCTATCAACATACCTACCGATCGAGATCGATAAGTAATAAATATTGTTGGACGTGAAGTGGACCCTTGAACTGTTTTGTTAAATTGTTTTTGTTCATATTCTTTTTGATATACTTATCGCTTTCCTCTTTAACTACTGAGCCGAATGATTTGAAATTTCCAGTGGGTAAAATTGTTGTTTTTGTTAGAAGAGTGGTTCCCAAACTTTTTGATATTGTTAATCTTCAATCGAATTACCACAAGCTCGATTACCGCTTCCATTAAATACAGTAGTCGTATCGTTATCACTTTTACTTTGACCAAAATAGCAATAATACTAACACCTATTGCGACTTTAATATTCTAAACTTGTCCTGGCTCAGCATTTTGGCCCTCGATCTGTACAGAGAAAGGACTATATAAGAGCATTGAATGTTCAGCTTTTCCGCAGAAATCACAAGTACGGAAATTACAATAGAAATTGTTGAAACAGTGAACGTCTGGATTACCCCTAAAAATTGCCAAATTGCCGTTTTTGGGCTAATTACTCCCAGTTTGGGAACGACCCGGGTTCCAAATAGCGACTGTCATAATGGCGACTTCATAATAGCGACGTAATCAAGTGAGCCACTGTCAAAACAGCGACTGTCATAATTGCGACCGCATTAAAACAGCGACTGTTATGATAGCGACTTAACTTTTTGTACAGGAATGACAAAACAAAGTTAGGGTCCCCCCCCCCCCACATACCTTCTATCCCCCACACCCTAATCTTAACTTTGTGCAAACCACTGTGCTAGAAGGCTATTACCTTAATTATTTTCAAAAAATTTTGTGGGCTTTATGGAATTTGTTTTTCACTCTAAAGTTTAGCGTGACGTCAACAAGAATAAAAAATGCGCACAGTGTGTCAGTTCTGCGATCGTATTTTAGCGATTTCGTGGTCAGACTACCGTTATTGTAAATGGTTCGATACCACTTCGCTTTGCCATTCCTGTACATATATATGAGCATTTCTCTCTTGTATTTTATGAATGAACAGGATGTAGAAAAAAAATTGAAAAAAGTTTGTAAAATAAATACAGTACTTGAGGTGAAATAGGAAGTAATTTCACGTCGAAAGATTAGGAATTTGTACGATTTAGGTATATTATCTAAGCGCGTCATAATTCCATAAGATTTCGGAAGCTATTTGCGTTTTAGTGCTTCGCTTAAAGATTAGTCTTTTGGTGACTTTGGTTGAGATAATTGTTCTGAAAAATATTTTTGATTGATTAATTGAAGGAGACTCAATTTCCGAGTAAGGGTAAACGCACTCACTCAAAAGAAACTCATCTTCTGGCAAAGTCATGGAACCAACTGTGTGCTATTTTTAATACCCTATATCAAATCAATAATTTTTGTTATTTTTTTTATATACGACGCGACTTTCTCCGCTGATATTTAACTGATATTTAACGGTATGCGAGAAACTATTGACGGATCTGTTTTTGTCCGGTTCGGAATTGCCTACTTAATTTATTATACCCTGGCTGATAAAGGTACTCGACATGAAACTTTAGTATCCGAGATGTGTAACTTGCAAAGCCAACACAGTTAAGTCGATACTCACGAAGTATGTCTACCAGGTTAGGGTTAGGGCATAATTTCATTCCGATTTATCTTATTTTAGTTATATTACGAGTTAGGAGACTATCTGTGTTAGCCAGGAGAAAATACCCCCTGTCCATAGGTTCAGTTCCTTTACACAACTTAATGTAAAGTAGGGGAACAAAGTTAGTTACCTCCATATTGATACACATATTTCTCATTGCTTTATTTTGCCCGACACTGCGCAAAAATGATCTTATGTATAAGTATAATACACAATACAATCTTTTAAATTTTGGATACCGTACAAGAATGATCTACCGTTCTCCGCCTAAAATACGCATTATCATGTTTCATTAATTTAGTTTAAGATGGTAAGCTTGTTTTTAGCACTTGCGTGATCACATCAATTGTCAAAAACTTCTAATAGGTTTTAGACTTCATTATTTTCCAATGTCAACAGAGAAATTCCATTACCTTATCTGTATTTCATAAAAAAAACTCATGTAGTTGATGCGAGCCAAAAGTTCATTAAATCGTCTTGTTGGCGTCCACACGGCCAAGAGTACATTTCGCGCAATCGTATCTTTTATTAAAGTCCTGTTCATGTATTTCTTTACTGGTATAACGTCTATATATCATGGGGATGATGTTAAATTTTAAGGCAGACAAACATACATATATACACACATTTCGCCATTCAACTAACGCAATTTACAATGTTATCAGTAAAAGAATTCTGGGAAAGTCCAAGTATACATCAGTTGGATTTACTCAAGGCCAACTACCTACCCTTCCTTTATGTATTTGCGATTGTAGATCCGTATGCTTATAATGATGCATTGATGCTGTTGCCATAATTAAGAGGGTTATTATAATAGGATTGTCAGAGGAAGTCTGACCTCGGTCATACGAAACGTTACAGAAATACATTTGTGATAGCCTTGTGCAGAAACCTCATGGAAAAATTCAAATTGGGGTTAAAACTAATCATTATAAGAACGGGATAGAAAAAAATTCATTATGGGATTCTTTGAATTTTAGAAGCGAAGGTGGATTCCAGTGTCAAGTTACCAAGAAACATGTTACATTGAGTTGTAGGTTGCCAGATGCCCATGTGTGTGACGGAACTTCAGAATGTCAGTGGGGAACGGATGAATGTTTCTGCGACTTTAGCGGTGGATCGAAAAAGGGAATTCCAATTGACGATGGTAAGCAGAGTTTTTGTACGGCCTTCAAGTAGAACGATGCCATATTTAGATAGTTTCTCATAAATATGAATATATATATACATCCTTTAACGACTTACGCGACTTAAGTGTTTGTTTTGTAATTGCACTGTTTACCTATTCTTGGCACTATTGTGGCCCGCGAACAATTCAAAAATAATTTTGTGGCCCGCGAAGCCGACAACCTTGGACCACCCTGGGGCCCTAGGCCCTAAAGCAGTGGTTCTCAAACTTTTTGAGCAGCGCCGACTTTTTAGAATTTGTCAAGCCTCGCGCCCCACCTCAAAAATAACCAGCCTACAATAAGATACAAATAACAGATAGTAAGGCGAAAGTATGATTTATTAAAAATGAAAACAAAAACGTTGAAATACGTGGATGGGACGTAAATAACTAGATAAATCAAAAGTTTTGAAATGTAAATATATAGGCGGGCAAGCTCAAATCCAACAAATATTTTTATTTTTAACTATCTTCACACCCTCTCAAAATTGTCCCCCACCCCCTAACGGACTCGCCTCACCGTTTGAGAACCAGTGCCCTATACTAGATGCTATAGCGTTATACTAAACTATGTTGGCATCGCATTTAACATATCCCGGGTTCCAATGCCACGTACTCTCATAGGGGTTTGCCCGCGAATTCTAATTCTGTTAACAGAAAGATAGTTTTTGTACGGCCTTCGCGTGTAGAAAAGACCGTATTCAAACTATTTCTTAAATATATCATTATATATATGTATACATTATTTAACGACGATTGCTGGTAATTTTCACTGTTTTGTTTTATTGTAAACGATTTTATCAACACATCCTACTGCTTGAGATTATATTTCTGCTTAAACAGGTGGAACTACTACTACACTTTAAATCGTATTTTCGCGGTTCAGCTTTTTTACCCTTGAGTTTTGAACTTGAGATCTTTCACACGTGATGCCAACATATCTGGGCTATGGCACTCACAAATTGCGAATAAATTAATGAATATTAGAATTCGTAAATCCTGGGTTCACAATAAACCCACATACTGAATGTTTCTTTTTAATATCAAATACATGATGTACTGGGCTTATTCAATTACCAAATCTAAGTATTCTGTACAAACATTTGAAGATTTGGAAAAGTTTGCTTTGTACCAGTTGTGAATTTTATTACTGCGTCTTTCCGAGTTTCTTAATATTTTGGTACGTATTTTTAGTTGTGATTAATACAGAAATAGGATTTGTGGGTGTCTCAAAATTTGCAGTTTGATATGGCAAATGTTTTTGAGCGGAAAATAATGTGGCTCGCACGCTACCTTTAACTGTTCGAAAATGGCAAACATGGACGAATCCACGCTTGAGTAATATTCAATTGTCACGTCATCGCATATTTATCTCGCTACATTTTATCTTCAAACGAGACTCGATAGAAACAATTTATTTCGTCAAAATTGTTTTCTATTGTTCTAGAATTGGAGATAAAAGAAGAATTTCAAATTTTGAGTGGGCGGCCATTCTGTCACTTTACTCGGCGAGACCATACATTATGCTTTAATTAATACAGATTTAAATAAAAAATGAAAAGTGTCAAAAAAACAAAAATGTCGGGTGTAAAAATTTTCTACTTTTCCTGGGAAAACGTTCTTCTATCGTATCTCAACTCATTTTCATGTGAATTTAATGTGCCTATTTGACCCAGTAGTACATAAAGTTTGTTGACCGTTGTTATGTGCGAACGGTATGAAAAAGTTTCGTATAAAAAATAAGCTTTTTTTTCAGCGTTTTCGAACGACAAATGTTTCCGCTGTTTGGATAAAAGTTTGGTCATTCCCAACAACCGTGTCTGTGACGGAATAATGGATTGCAAAGATCTGTCTGATGAGTGTTTATGTAAACATGAACAAAAGAGATCGGAAGAAACAAAAAAGCTTTGCGACAGCGTTTGCATAGGTAAGTTTAAGTAAAAATAGGGTGTCTATAAAGTCTTAGAACAATTTTAAAATTACAAGAGGACTTTATTGATACCATATATTGTTTTGGAGCTCACAGATATATTAAACGAAGTAAAACTACTTGATTAAAAACAACAAACCTGGTTAAGATATATTGAGAACAGACTTCAAAACAAAATCGAAAGTGAATAGAGACTTTAGGGACACCCTATATATCCCACGTTTTATAACTGGGGAGAAATTGTCTTTCTTTGGGAAGAATTTTGCTTTGCATTTCCTGTAGTATTTTTATTATTGTTTAGTTCTTTATTATTACCATATTTATCTTTTTCCAACTTTTTTAAAAAAATTACTTCAACTGTACAAATACGGGGGTGCGACTTGTGCAAAACATCATTTAAGGGTCCATTGAAGGTTGGCCAGTAAAGTAACTTTTAGGAATAGTGAAGGTCGAATAAACAAAATAAGGAATTTAACGAAAATAGTTTAGAAATACATCAACGCGAAACATTTTTATGCGGGAACAGCATCGCCCCAAGATGACGATGCAAGTCAATAATTCACCTTATATAAAGACAGCTAGTTTAGTTATTAATTTTGGTTAGAGCTAGAAAATGGGAAAAATAAAAAAAAATATTATAAAATAGCCATTTGTAAATTCATTAAATACTATCGAACTCCGTCATCTAAGTCAAGCAATTATGAAAAAAGATATTCTCATGTTTGATCTGTATTTTTCTAAATGTTCTTGAGACAAAATATGAGTCTAAATCATATGTTTTTGACAGGGTTTAATGTACTCGTTATGTAATATGACTCCACTCATTTTAGGTTAGTACATAGAGTCACGGCAAGCAATGTGTATTTTATTCCCACTTCCGAAGAGGACTTTTAGGCTGCTTTGTAGACATGGATTTGGTTTTATTCCATCCATTCTGACATAACTGTATTATAAATTTTGGTCAGAGGAAAAATAGAATTAGGAAAATCTTATTTGTTGAAATATTAAACATAGTATTATATAATAATCAACCTTATATTGACAAACTTTGAAGCATAAGTGTATTAGTCTCGAGCATCTATCTGAAATATTTTTAAAAATATGTAGAATATTAAATCTTTATTTTTGACAGGTTTTAATATACTTCAAAGGTTGAAAGACAAAGATTTATTTGCGTTTGGTATTACAATTATATTTACCTCGTGAATAAAAAATCGATATTAATTTGAAGATCAAATAAACTGCCGTGTGTTAACATTGAACCTTTTGAAAACGAAATTTGATTTGGTGGCGTGGCATTAAATAGTGGCGCCAGACAGAAGTTGTTATTTAAATAGGAACAATTCGGCTTTGCTGTTATTTGTCAACCGGTTCATCTCAAATATCTGATATTTGTAAATCGTTCGGAAAATTGGTATTGGAAATTACGTGTTTTTTGAATCATTTTTCAGTTAATAAATGGTACTCCTGAAGTCTGCGAACCAAGATTGCGAACATCGGAACGTAGTATGTGTACTAAGTTAGGGTTAGGCCATAATTTGATTCCAATTTCTCTTAGTTTTATTACGAGTTCAGGGATTAGCCATGTGAGTCCCGTAGTATTTGTACCTGAAATTATGACCTAACCCTAACCTGGTACACATACTACGTTCCGGTATCTGCTATCTTGGTTCACATACTTCGGGAGTACCCAATAAATTAATATTAGCAGTAATCGTTATTTTAATCTAGAGAAGTGTTTTTCAATCTTTTCGAGGAATTGGAAACCCAACGAACATTACAAAAGTTCGAGGAATCCCGGTGCAATTATTATTCTCTGAATTGTATATTATTTACGGTTTATAATTTATATCGTAGTTCTAGTCACCAGTTTTCCACCAGTGAACGAACCATGGCCCATTGCTGGGCCACAGATGGGCCACAAATCTATTAAAAATGTTATACCTATTGATAAATTAGTTAAATTTGATTGTATTATAAATGATTGATAATGCTGTGCTTGCTACTAAATAGTAATTTTAATCTTAATTATCAAAATGGATGTGCCTATCTTTGCGTAGAGAATTTTTTTTTTTTTTTCCTTGCATACAAAAGTTTCCACAAATTTTTTTGTGCAACGAAAGTGGGCCACAAACGAAAAAAGGCAAAAATCATTATCTGGAATAATTTTTTTTAATAGTTATGTATAATATATACATCTATTGGGTTTGGAACAGCTATATATATATATATATAAATTTAATCACTAATTTGTGATGTAATCGTCATACATTTCATTCACACGAAGAAAATAAAGGCCAAACTAAGATCATTCACATTTAATTTTTTTGAAATTCATTACACTCTGTCACGCGTCGGTAAAGATTAAGAATAAAGTCAAGGTCAAGATTAATAATAATGTACATTTACGGAAACGATAAAATTGTCAAATCTGTCTGACTTTCAGAATTAATTGCAAAAATTTGCATTTATAAGATATCAAATAAACCTAACATTTGAATCATGTAATGTAATAGGCTATTATATAAAATTCTAAAACACATAATCATTACGCAAACTACGCCAATAGATCAAATTTAAAAATAAATGAAGGTTTGCGCAATGAATAACTTGTCGGGAACACGTATGCCACCGTACCTCTGATTACCTTGATCGAGTTCGCAGGTTTCAAATCCCAATTCAAGTTCCGGCGCTCAAGAAGTATGTGTACCAATATGGAGGTTTTTACATCAAGCTGTGTAAAGGGACTGAAACCTGTGGGCAAAGGTGTATATTCACTCGGCAAACACAGACAAACCCCGAACTCGTAATAGAACTCAAATAGGGAAAATAGGAATAAAATTAGGACCTAACCCTAATCTGGTACACACGCTACGGGAGTACATATATTCCGACATGAAGTGCTAACCGAGTCGAAACCCCTGTTCACGTATAAAATACTGGATCCTACGTATTCTATCGAAATCGTGAGATTTATGTTTTGCATCAATTTTTAATAATTGTGTTTCGAATCAAGAGTCAAAAAAGGACAATAGTTACAGTACTTTGTGTAAGATTGGTGTACTCTTTGCGACCCCTAAAATTTGTTGCGCGACCCCCAGTTTGGGAAGACTTGCTCTATAGATGACTGAGCCGTCTTATCCACTTTCCTCTATCCCAGGATAAATACAAAACTCGTACGACCTATATAGGCCTGCCTACGTTTGTCTTGTAAACGTCCTGAAAGAAGGAAATATATGAACCCGAACCATCATGTGATAAAAAGGTCATGTAATAAATTTGAAGTTCATATTAAATTCAAAATATTTTGATTCTTACAAAATCTCCAGTGCTGCTTACATACCCGAAGCTTTGTTTACCCAATAAAACCCCCAAAAAGTACGTATTTGGCCACATTTATAAAGCTTTAGTAAGGAAATAAATTGAGTAATTAATGCCAAATAGAAACACAATGATCCCGATACCACAACAGCCCCCTATGTATTAGTTGAAGCTTATAAAAAAATTGAAAATTGGAACTTGTGGAATTATTTGGAAAAACTTACTTACGAAAGCGTTTATACATATACATAATTATATGAAATTTAATAAATATGCACTTTTTATTTTTTACACTTCTAGAGCGCCCAAGAATGACGTCTTATCAGCGTCGTGCGTACTCACTCATAAGTAAAATAAACTAATCTATACTTTTTCGTACACCTTTATGAATATTTTGTCAACTTTCATACAGGCGATCAATGCAAATGCCCAGGACAACTTCAATGTCAACCGAGAGTCAATAACGGAACAAAGGGCACAACAGTATGTATCGACCCGGAATCGATTTGCGATGACATGTAAGTGAAAATATACTTTGTTATGATAAACGCTAATTAGGCACGAAGTGAACCTATGAATTGATTTGTAAGTTTTTTGTTGTCGTTGTTGCCTTTCTCCTTAACCACTGGACCAATCGTTTTGAAATTTTCAGTGGTTAAAGATTGTTGTTGTTGTTGTTAGAAGGCTATTAGGATGAGGGACTAGTTTTCCAACAATCTCTCATTTCTATTTATTCTTGCCACCGTTGAAGTTAAACAACTTTTCAATTTCAGATATGATTGTGAAAATGGATTTGACGAGTCCTTCTGTCCTTTGGCTGATGATTATTTCACTTGTTTCGACAACAGTACAAGAGTCAGGAAAACAACTTTATGTAACGGTGAGACAATAATGTACTTTATTGCGCACTCCCGTAGTGTGTGTACCAGATTAGGGTTAGGCCCTGATTTAATTCCGATTTTTCTTATTTTAGTTTTATTACGAGTTTGTGGACTGTCTGAGTTGACTGTCATTCAAAGGGCGATTGGGACTACAAATTATCCATCCCTTTTCCTAATCTACTTTTTATACGGTGGCAAAATAATCCTTACGGGGGGAGGCAATAAATGGTGATCTTAACAATTTATTCTTCCCCATTCCTAACTTGCTGTTTATCTGAGAGCCCAATAGTCCTCTATGAAGGAAGGTATTCAAATGGCTTAGTTCAATACCACTGTCCACCTCCTAATAATAAAGCAATTAAAAGCAAATAAAACAATTTTGTGCTATTTATTTTCAGGAATCAAGGATTGTCCTGATGGTTCGGATGAGTACAGATGCCACGAAGACAAACACATTTGCTACATGTATAAACTTGAATCCCTGTGGCCTCATTTGAAAGGTAATAAATGTAGAGAGAGAAGTAATAGAGAACTTCGTTTTGCCAAACATGAGACCAATCATCCAAAATCAAGTCCAGGAACTCGTAATAAAAATAAAATAAGGAATATCGGAATAAATTTAGGCCCTCACCCTAACCTAGTATTCCAGACTACGGGAGTATCGTTATTACTATAAAATCTTCATAAATTTATTTACACGATTTCCTATACGTGTCTCGATCTGCAGAAGTCGCCACTGTTAGGTGATGAGCTGCTAATATTGAAAGAAAATAAATGAAGAATTTTATCACACTAATCATATGTGCCACGGATATGGATATTTCGTAGATAGTGTTTACACGAAGGTTTAAACAGCCGACCAGCCGAACCATATTTTGGAATGTATCATACATGGCAATCTTCCGTTCTTCCAAAAACTCGCGTCGTGAGATATCAGTGTCTGCCTGTACAGGGCCTTATACGAAGCAAAAGGCTCGAGTAAGAGTTGTATGAATAATTTGAAATAGTGCTACCGTGTTTCCCCGAAAATAATACATAGCCTGAAAATAAGACCTAGCCTGAATTTTAAAAATGATTTCAATATGAGCCCTCCCCTCAAAATGAGACCTTGCCGATAGCGCGAAATTTTTTGACCTGAACGAGTTATTTATAAGTAAATGAATATCGGTTTTCATTTTTTTTATATTTGAAAATCTTCTAATTTTTTTTATATTGTAATTTTGTTTTCGATAAATGAAAATAAAAGACATCCCTAATATAAACCCTGGTGTTATTTATCAAAAGAAAATTGAAATAAGACCCTCTCCTACATTCAGAAAAACACGGTATTGTAATTTCCTGTAGTGTTTCAATGGTGCTGTATTGCAAACATTCATTTAGATCGAGATCGATTTATAAATATGTGCTTTTTTGTTTCAGATCTTGATCTCAGCAATGGATATCCACCTTTGAACAGGAGTAAGTGACTTTTATTGTATTATTTTTAGCGGAGAGTGCAATTAATATCAAGACTAAGTATAATCTGATCTTTTGTGCAGAGACCCGGTGTCTCGAAAATGTTGTGTCCCAGTTGTTTCTATTATATCGTTACTAAGTGGTCAAGTGGGACACGTGGGACATGAGTGGGACAAGTGGTACAAGTGGGGCAAGTGGGACACGTGAGACAAGTGGGAAATGACATTTTTGAGAAACCTGCCAAAAAAGACTCCGCCGTTCAAAAGAAAAAAAAAATTGGTTTGCTATCAACCCTTCTTCCGAACGAACCAACCGAGATAGAACTCCGCGCACTTGTATGGCCTAATTAACTTTGACAGCAAAGTACGTCTGTGAAAACCTTTCTCAAAATATCTTCTAATATCAGTTTTTGATTGTACCTGGTTTTGTTTGGATCCGAAGACGCGAGTAAACGTCATAATAAGCCTCCCCACTCTAAAAAAAACTATTTTTGGATTGATTAAGACCTGATTGGTACATGACACCCTGAAATTGAATTGATATGTTAAAAGAAAATCGAGAGAGAGGGGGGGGGGCTGAGAGAGAAAATATGAGAAAGAGAGAGAGTAATAGTTAACTAATTGAACATAAACTTTTAGTTCTTTATAGTAAACTCTAATCCACTACCTTTTTATTCCAGGTATCATTCTTAAGCAATGGAATCCTTGGCCTTATCATTGGCCATATTACACCGACGCTTGTGATGGAATTCCTCTGTGTTCAGATAGAGACGACGAATGTGATAACGATACATGCCCTGGCGAATTACCAGGCTTTTGTAGCTTCGACGGAAAGTAAAGTAGTTTTTTCCCACTTTTTGTTTGTAGAAAGCAAACCTTTACATCCTGTACTTGATTGGCAGTACACTTTTTGAGCAGAATCTCTAAAATTAAACCCACTGTCTTTATGGCATTCCATATTTCCTCCGAGGTCAGAGGTCACTAAACTGGTAATTCACATAAATATATAACCATATATTCATGCCTATTTCTAATCTGCCGTCTATATGACAACCCATTATTTCTTTGTCAGAGAAGTACTTTTGCGATTAGGACCATATATTCCAACGCTCCAAGAATCATTCCTTCCTACGTTCATGTGTCATTCCAAGATATCCTCCACGAAGCAGGGTATTCAAATGACAATTTGAACCATATACCCATTCAGGCGAAATTTTCATTTGTTATTGCTATAAAATTTGAAGTTTGAAGTTTTGAAAACCCTGTACATATCTAATGAGCATGTATTGTTTAGGTTTTTGTTCAAGATTTGTTACCTACAAGTTTTCCAATCAACGTTAATTTTTTACCTCTCAAAACATTTACCGTACCAAAAATAGAATGAAATTAAGAACAAAATTTTTACCATTTGCATTTCAGTTGTCCAAACTCGGGTTCTAGGATAAATGGGTATGAAATTTGTGATGGACAGCCGACATGCAACGATACTGCACCTCATACATCCGTAGATGAGTGGGGGTGTCCAGGAAGGTGAGAAAAATAACTATAAAAAAATTCCAAGAGAGACTAGAAAAACGAAAAAGGAATACTCAGATCATGGACACAAAGGGCAAAGATTATATAAAATATGCAATATAAACGTGTGCACATGAATTAGAATGACTTGCCAAATTTTGGGAAAACGGGACTCGGAAGAAACTATTTTTTTTAAATTTTAGCCTTCTAGTGCAGGGGTTCTCAAACTTTTGATGTTATGGAGCCCGTGATGAGGTTGACTATTATTCACGGAGCCCCGCAATAAATTTATAAAAATAAAATCATAAAACACATTGTTGCTCACAGATTAATGTTCCTTACTATATTAAATTACATTATTTAATGACTCAGATGTATTTGCTGCTTTTTATTAAAAATATATTCAGTATTTTTTTGAGTAGACAAATAACTTGAGGAGCCCTCAGGTTTCGCTTTGCAGCCTCGGGGCTACGTATGGAGAACTTTGAAAACCTTTGTTCTAAAGGATTTAACTGACTTTAAGTAGCAAAATTTAAAATTGAATGGTGCATTAGTTCTGGAAAAAAAGCGATTTTTTCAGAACAACAATAGCACTTTGATGTTTGAACCCAATATATTTACCTTGTGATGCTAACATTTTATAAACTGATATAAAGCACAGTGCCAAACATTTCCAAAGCGCTGTGGCCCGCTGTCTGTGGCCCGTTAACTTCTTATTGCAAGGGAAAAACTAAAAGTTGCCACTCAGTGCAAAAACAGCATCATCATTCATTGGTACTACAATCAAATTTTTGCTGATTCATCAACGAGAATATCGGTCAAAGACCGAAGACTTATCGATCGAAAGTTAAGTGATCCCCCAAAACAGCGCTCTCACTCCATAGTGACACCTTGTGTCCCATCATTAATTAATTGATGACTCGCTAATTATACGATATAATTCGCTTAAATCAATAGGCTTTTGGTCCGAGATATGATGACTGCAAAATCTGGAGCAGATTCAATCTCGCTTTCGTGAGATATCGCGTGCATCTAACAGACATACACACACACAGACAGACAAATACCTATCAACATACTTACCGATTAAAATCGATAAGTAATAATATATATCAACACTTTTAGTAGGTTCGTGGCCCACCTGGAAATGTTTCTGTGGCCCAGAAGTGGGTCATGTGGGCCACTGGTTGATAATCGGTGGGCTGGGGTAATAATTACTATATGCCACTTTACGATATTGTAAATAACTTAAATATAAAAATGGGGTAAGTCAAGAGCGTGTCGAAAATAAAACTATTTTAAAAGTGAATTTAAAAATCATGTTTTTAATGTTACACAAATCGAATATTTTTTTTCGGAGAAATATTGAATAATATAATTATTGAAGAATATAAAAGTACAAAAAACGGCAGTATCGATATAGGAAAAACATGCAATAATCATTTCATCCTCATTCGTTTTATTTCTATACAGGTTTTACTGCAAAAATAATGGCTCGACCAGGTTGCCTATCCATATACCCGAAGAACACAGATGCGACGGTATAGCTGTAAGTAATACTTATCTGTTTTGTATAGTCTTCAACTTGACAACTAATATACAAAAATGTCGTTTCCACAATCAGAGCAAAAATTATTGAAACCATAAATTGGGTTCTTATCTATGCTTTTGCAATGGATACGTATATATATATATAATATGTGTATGCACAGATGTAATGGTATTGCTCTAGGACTAGGTAATGCTTTTATAGTCTTTAACTTGACAACTATTATACAAAAATGTCGTTTCCACAATCAGAGCAAAAATTATTGAAACCATAAATTGGGTTCTTTCTCTATGCTTTTGCAATGGATACGTATATATATATATAATATGTGTATGTACAGATGTAATGGTATTGCTCTAGGACTAGGTAATGCTTTTATAGTCTTTAACTTGACAACTACTACACGAAAAGGTCATTTCTGCGATCATAATAAAAATTAATGTAACCATAGCCAAGTCAAGTCAAGTATTAGTGGAACACGAGAAATCAAATTACGGGAAACTGATAATTGCGAAGTTTTTCTGGAGAAGGGAAGTCGCGGGAAACTAAAGCTGGGTATATCGAGCAGCAACACAAACATTAATTGGATCTTCCTTCGTATATATGTATATTGCGAAAATGCCTCATCGATTGGCTCTTTGCACTAATTCTTCAGTGCAATATTTATAATACATATATTGTTTGAATTTTACTGGTACTGGTTATACTGCAACGGCTCTATGAAATCTTATATTTATAATCTATAAAAGTTTATCGATTGATTTGTACTTGGCCTACAAATCTCTTATGCCCATGATGTGGCTGATTTATCCTTGCCCGTTGTTGCTGTTCTTGACCTCCTGTTCCTAAAATTTATTTGCGAATATTTTCTTCCTGCGATTCGGTTCTAGGCGAACCAAATTTTAAGCTTTGGAGTTTCTCCAGATCAGTGGTCCCCCCCCCCCTTTTTTTTCGTGGCCCATGGTGCACAAAAGAATCTGTGTCCCATTAACTCCCCATAACAAGGGGAAAACTACAGCGAAAAACAAAATTTCACTTGTTAAGATAGACACCTTCACTTTAATAACCAAAATGAGAACTACCAATCAGTAGCAAAAACAGCATCATTATTCGTTGCTACTACAATCAAAGTTTAACTAATTTATCAATAACTATAGCAAATTCTAACAGTTTTGTAGCAGAAAATGTTTATGTGGCCCCGGAGTGAGCAATGGTACACTGTTTGAAAACCGGTGTTCTAGCTAGAGAAGAGCTGGGCAAGGGGCCCTGGGCCAAATATTTTGCCCATCTAGTCTGACAGGCCATGTACGTGTGACGTAAAAAGTTACATTTTGGTAACAATATTTACAGTGTTACAAAAGCAAAAATAGAAAACAATAATCCTCCAGCTTATAATCCTCAAAACTCAATTTAATCGCAATCTCAACAAATTCCTTGAGGTATTGTTTAGGATATAACATAGAAATTTGGTTTTAGTTTGGTTGTGGCGGCATCAGGCTGGCCAGATTGAACTACCCAACGAGTCGGATTTGGCCCTCGGGCTGTACTTTTCCCATGTCAGCTCTAGAGCCCCCTCTCTAAAAGTATTATACCGGTATTATAGCCCAGCGTACAGACCGTCTGTTAATCTACTAGATGAATATATCATGAGACAATATAAATGTAAAATGTGTTTGTTTCAGGAATGTGACGATCAGAGCGATGAAATGGATTGCAACAAAGACGGAGTTGTAACCCATTTCTATTGCAATGACGAAGGATCAACATTATTTATTCCTATTGAACAGGTAATGAGGGAGAATACTCAAATGTATGAACACTATCTGCGGGTTACTTGAATATACCTTATGAAATCGTGGAATTTAGTAATCGGAAAAATCCACCTTGCAATTCAAAATTTGGTGGCCCCAGAAATAGTATATATGAAGATTGTCCAAGGTACGCTCCTGCACACACCCCATAAATGCTGATCTTAGAAATTTATGTATAAAATAACCAAAATTATCTAGTAATCGAATGTATGTGTCGCTAGGAGGTTTACTAGGTGGGGCAATTCAAAGCGATCGGCTACGTCTTTTCCTATCCAAAAGTTCATGAACCTAGAAGAATAACTAAAAATCTGGCATACCCGTTTAAATGATTACGCATATTTTAAAAAATAGCAGTTTTCAACTTATCAAAGTTTTCTGATCTTGGGTCTTGGTTAGAGAGAGAGAGAGTTGAAGCATCTATAATAGTAATATTAATTCATCTCTCTTTTTTTTTGGACCAGAAATGCGACAGACGAAAAGATTGTAAAGAAGGAAGTGACGAATGCGCAAATTGCGAAATCAACCCGTTTTCTTCAGATGAAAAATTAATCAAATCCAGAGTTTTGGTTGGATTTTTATGGATTATAGGCGAGATAATTTATTTTTCTTATCTCTGTTTTATTAGCGCCGTAGTTGGTATCATTGCATCAACTGTAATTTTAAGTTGTGCCGTCATTACCTGGCCTATTATAATCCTTTTCGATATATTTGCCTATTTTGATGTTTTTAATCCTGTGTCTCGAAGATGTCGTATCCCACTTGTCCTACTTGGGACACGTAGAAACAGTGGGGCACGTGGGACAACTGGAACAAGAGAAACAAGTGGGACACGGGACACCTCAGTTCTCGTTATTTGTTCAGTTTGTAACGGATCTTAAGCTAGTGTTACACCCCCAAGAATACAGAACATTTCTTCCCCGGTCGGGATATCAGCAAGTTCGCAAATGTGGTCAGTACATCGTCATTAGAGGTTACGCCTAACAAATTCCCAATCCTTCCTCAATGCCTTTGCGCTAGTGGATCCGTTGGCGTAAAAGCAAGGATACGGTCGCAGGAATAAACATGGCCATACTATGCAATTCAAGAGTTCTGCTGCAGAAAAGTGTTTTGTAACATTTCGTCTGACCAAAATTAGACTTCCTTAGACAAGTCGGTTATGACAATGATAAGAAAAGTAGGATATTTACAGTTTAAATATAGTAAAATAAGAGAGAGTAAAGCTTTTAAATCTGAATTGTTCTTCGCATCTTGCGGACTAGACAATGGTTTGTGGGATCAATTCAAGTGTGATGGAAGACTCGTTACTTGAGAATTTATATCTAATTTAACATTTTCCAGGTTTGATGTCAACATTCGGAAACACGGCCATCATTTTTCATCAAATCATCCACATTTACAAAATCAGAAAAACTACAAATCAAGTGGCGTTGAAGAACAGAGTACTTGTGCTGAATCTCGCATGTGCTGATCTATTGACCGGGGTAACTTGATAGCATTGATAAAATAAATCAGGGGTGTGCAACTTTTAATACAGGAAGGCAAATACAAATAACTGGGTGAAACCACGGGTCGTACCTTTATTTAACATAGGCTCTCTAACTAAATTTGGTCTATCTTGTGACATGGGTTTCGATTTGCTCAAGCTAGCTGTTAGGACATTGTAACGTCACGTCACGTGATTCAGGTATAAGCTCTGCAACGCGAAGAGATTGGGATTATTAGCACATACCAGATTAAACCAAGTTAAAAACTCGTTTCGCGGACGCACATTTCTCCTTGTTGACCACAGGTTGCACACCCTTGAAATAAATGAATGACATCATTTTCAAAGATCATTGAAATGACATAAGGATGATTTAAAACAGTCGGATTTTCTGTACAAAGCCCCATCACTAGTGCAAAAATGTGAGATTTGAGAAAAGCACCCCTTTCACGTTTTAAAATACGAAAATTAGCAATTATTTAGTTATGGCACAAGTACATATGCTCACTCTTATAGCAAAAAAATTGCATTGATTTAGGCGAGCAAGGAATCCATTACTCAACTGACTAACTGAGACAAAGTGAGAAATAAATAAAAATAAAGGATGCAATGTCGATAATAGAGTTAACCCAATGTACAGTTAAATACTAGCAAGTGGGAAATTGGGTGCTCTTTCAGAGAAAATTATGACATCATATTTGGTGTTGTGACAAACATCATTCATATTGTGACGTAAATATTTAATTCCCCCCTTCCCTAAATATTAGAATTACGCTAGTTTGTATATTTTAATAATCACTTCAAACTATATAAGCTGACAATTTACAAAATTCCTTTTTCGTTACAGATTTATCTTATAGCCTTGGGAATAAAAGATGCACAAGTTGAAAAATATTGTTTGGCTGACCAAGAATGGAGAAGTAGTTCGACCTGTTCTGCCCTAGGAGCCATCGCTGTTATTGGAACCCAAGCATCTGTTATGATTTTACTTATCATGACCTCATACAGATTGTATCTGGTTATTAAGTGAGTGTAAAAACAGTATTTGCTTGCACTGGGCCTTCTCCTCCATCCATAATAAAGTTTGTCATATCTTTGTTAATTTAATTGTCTGCAGAAAATTACATTGCTGTTTTAATCATAGAAGACTGGCTGTGTGAGCACACCATTTAATTGACTGTAAATGCATATTGAATGTTAGTTGTATATGCATATCCCATACGCTATAATATTCGTATTTGGTTGGCTGTATATGTACATGAATGGGCTTTTTACGCCATTTTGGCTGTATATGTACAACATCCAATTTGACTGGCTTTAAATGCATATTATTGTTGGTTGTATATGCAAATCCCATACGCTGTATATATATATATAAATATATACGTATTTCTTTGGCTGTATATGTACATGAATTGTCTTTTTACGCCATTTTGACTGTATATGTACAACACTCAATAATATTGGCTGTATATGTATATTAATGTTGACTGTATAGGCATATTCCATATAACAGTGGTTTTCAAACTTTGTTGGTTTATGGTCCCGTTGGAAAGGCTCTTAACACTTGTAGGCTAACTTGTTAACACTGCTACAACGTAGGGAATAAGACAAGATTGTTTTAAAAATGCGTCGCCGCGTGTCACACGGGAGATGTACGACGTCATGATAAAAACTAAAATGCGTTTGAGTTTAACTGGTGAATACCCAAAATCCTAACACCCGAGTTAGCAATAATAGTGAAAGATTTTGCACCGTGATCGTTTCTTGTAGTCGCTATAAGTGGCGGGGGCAGTATGAAAAACCCGCTCCGCTATATAAGCAAATTTTGACTTTATATAAACCTTTCGCTGTATATGTACATCACGATATCAATCCCACTCAATGGGCAAGCATCAATTAGAATTGGGAATCCTAAATTTTGGGCTCCAGCTAAAAAAAATATGATTTGCTCACAAGATATGAGGTCTCTATGCATTAAGTTATGTAACAAATTATATTTTTGTTTTTGTTTTTCAGGCCATTTAAAAGACAGAAGATGTCAATGGTAATACTGTCCGTCATTATTTCCTGGGCTATTGCGATCTTGCTTGGAACTGCCCCCTTGATTTACTCAGCTAAAGAATATTTCGTTTCTTGTGTGTGGTAGGTGTCAGCAGAAATATTTATACGCAAATATTGTATTGTTTAATTTTAATTCTTTTTTAATTTTCGCTGACTGGTGGTGAAAGCGTTTATTATGATGCCATCTTACAGTACAATCTCATGTCATACTCACCACCTCACTAAAAGCGTAACAAATTAGGTATGCAATGCCGAAAACAAGAAAATTCCGGACTTTTGAATTACAGTAGCGGCTTGTCCATGCATCGTTCGGAGCTAGGTACAAATAAATAGAGATCGTATAGAAAATTCTGTTCTGTTTCCCCCTTTCCCATTGCCCATAAGCTAATTAATTCCCTTTTCCTTCACATACCATACACAGTTGCAATAACGCTATCAACAATCATACATTTTCAGGTTCAGAAGTCATCGTTACCTTGGCTATGCTTGTAAAGCAGATATGATTGAATTTACTGAAAGACTCATCGCTTTTGAAGGACCTGACCGATTGTTCAGCAAAGCTGTTGGGTAAGATGTTGATGTTGTTGCAATCACCGTTTCACACGATTCTTCTGCTGTGTTAAGAGAAAATGAAACAAATATATACTTGTACATTGCACATATGCTTTTTCAGAGACAATAAATAATTATTTGGTGTCGTTAGAGTTAAATTCCCAATGATTTGTGTCCTTTTCATTGGTTGACTTTGGCTAATTTGGATTGAATTCAATTTTTTTTGACTTAGGCTGTTGATGGGCCGCTAAATGCTTCAGACACATCTTTCCGTTTCTTTCACATTGAAGCACTTTTTGGTAGTTTCCTTGATGATTCCAACAGCAACAGTTTTTATGCATTATGCTGTGTTAAGCCACGTTCGAACTCAATTGAGTTTAATTTTGTTGAATTTGAACTTGCTTTTTCATTAGCTTTTATATGTTTAGATCTGAGTACACCTGGGACTCCATGATCGAAGCACAGAAAGTTTTGAACTCGAGTTACGAACCTGAGAGATATTTCGGATACTACTCTGCACACAGTGTGTGTCTTCCTCGACTGTTTCCAAACACAGAAAACGACAGATCGTGGGGATATTCCTTGTTCTTGGTGCTACTGAATTTCTTTGCATTCGTCTACATCTTACTAAGCTATATATTTATTTATAAGTAAGTATAATGAAAGTACCATAAGGTACAAAATTGGTTTCATAAACGAGTAACGATTACTAAGAATAAAACTCAAATTAAAAGGAAACCGAATTATATTCACGGTTCCATAGTTTCCCAGAAGCTGTCTGCAATCTTCAATTATAGTATTTCAAAAATTCACAAATAAAATAGATTCATCAATATAATCTCAAAGTTTTGGAATTAACTCAGGGTCTCCAAAAGTTTTGCTAAAACGAATATAAGGAAAATTGAAATAAAAGTTTTATTTTGTTCAACTTAAAACAATAATGCCAACAAGTTGCCTGCTAATTCAACTTTCAACGTTTCATCGCCTCCGATATATCTGGACTGTAAGTGAGGTCCTATAAACCTATTGTCTAAGATATACAGTCCCGTGGTAAACGATTGCGCCATTGTGCATTAACATTTTAGAACCGATAATAAAATTTGCATATTTGGATACATAAATTCATTTGGAGCAGTTAAAATACTTGTTGTGTGCATATGCATATGCTTGAATGCATACATCAGCTAATAAAGACAGCTATATACCAAACATATATTGACAATAATAATAATACCACTATAATAAATTACTAACCTGTGCCCTGAATATTCCAAACTTTGAAAATTATTTTATTCCAGGACTTTTGTGAGATAAACTAAATATCCTATGTATATAGCATTGCTTACAACTGAGATTTAATCACTCGATTATTTCCTTAATTACTTCCTGCTACACAGACGCACAACGTCCAATAAAATATCATCTAACAAAGAAGATCGATCAGCTGTTATGCAACGTAAAGTATCTCGTATTGTCCTGACAGATTTCTGTTGTTGGATGCCGATTTGTATCATGGCATTCATAACCGTAGCAGGTGAGAATGAAATTTTTGATGCAAACTTTTGTACAGAAGAGTGCAAAAGCATGTGCAGTCACTAATGCAAAATCATTCAAAAATACTATAAGTATTGGGCGCTCCAGGAGTGTGTGTACCAATATCGGGATAACTTTGTTTACCTATTTTACATCAAGTTGTGTAAAGAGACTGAGCCTATGGGCAGGGGGGATACTCACTTGCCTAAGTCGTAATAGAACTAAAATAAGGAAAATCGGAACAAAATTATTGCCCAACCTTATCCTGGTTCACACACTACGGGAGTGCCCAAAAGGCAAATTATGCATACTTATTTAAAAATACAGAGACACTTTCAAAATTTACAGTTGATATTTTCGACGCATCTTTGTAGACCTTAGTAGTTCAGCGGTCGGCCGTCTTGCTAGGAGATACCAAAAACGTTTTGGTTAGTAAATAAATTGTGTCACATAAAATATTTTGAAACTTTGCAATAAAATCGGAATTGCGTTTTCTAGTCTGCAGTTTAGATTTTGATTGATCAATTGATCAAATTGATCAATTTTCAGTTTCAATTTAACTGCGTAGTTTCTATTTTAATTTTATAAAATTGATATATTATGATAACATCATAACGAATATTTTTAAGTGATTCAAGAGTCTTGCTGCACTTAGGATAGTTATCTTTACTCTTGCTACAGCATCCTTGCATTATATGCATACGGATCCAACGGCACAAAAGCACTGAAGACGGAGAAGTAGTTAGTCTCGAAGAAACCAAATATATAACGAATATTGTTGTTAATTTTTCCTAACAAATATTTCAGACAATGTGCTACCCAAGATGATTTAATATTCGCAATAAAGTCGAAATTACTCTTGAAACGTGCGGCGTTTAAATTTTTCGTTTTATAAAAATGGTATTTTTTTTAATACCGGGACCCCAATTATATTCAAGAGTCAAGACGAATACATAAGATAATTTAAATTCTTTGATATGAAGTCGAATATGCTTACAAAGTGGCAAAACAAATTTTATTGATTAATTTATTTTATTTTAAAATTGCACCATTTCACCCAGCAAATATTTTAGACGAATTTTCTGTTACTTCAGGTATTGATATTGGAGACACAGCATACGCCGTAACAGCCATCATTCTGTTACCAATCAATAGCGCTATGAACCCGTTTCTTTACTCTTCACTGCTCGATGTCATCTGGAGCCACTTGGAACCAACTTTCAACCGATTCATTGGTACGAAATTTGGAAGAAGCCTTCAGGCAAGTTTTCAAAAACGAAAGGCAAGCACTGGAATTGGCCAATCTATGGGTAATTTTTGTATTGTCATCGCTTTGCTTAGTTTAGACCCTAGTGCCTAATACTAAGCTAAAACCCTTTCTTCTTTCAGCGCATGTGCATTGATTAGTGAAAATGCTATAGCTTTTTTCTGCATGCGATTATGCATCGAATTTTAGAATAGAATTCGAATGTTTGATAGACTGGGAATATTAATAATACTTTTATAACATATTCATTTGAATGCGTGCCTCTAACCACTAGTTCTCAACATTTTTTTTCATGGCCCACTTTTGTTGCACAAAAAGTTCTGTGGCTAATTGACTTTCTCATGCACGGGGAGAAACTATAAGAAAAGCGATAAATTCTTTTTGCAAAGTTGGACTTTGAATATTTAAAATGAGAAATCATTCATTTCAATCAACGTCAACTGATTTATCAACAGCGCTGTCAATTTTTAATAGATTTGTGGCCCACTTCAAAATGTTGTGGCTCAGTTTGGCCCTGTTTGTTTGTGGCCCAGAAGTGGGCCATGGCCCACTGGTTGAGAACTGGTGCTCTTAGTAGACTGTTTGAGTCGTTTTCTCTTGCTTACTTTGCTCGACTTCTGCTTGTTAGATTTGGTTGAATTATCTAACGTTATCAAGCAGTCATGGGTTTTTTGAAAGGCGTGATAATCAGCGAATCTGTTCCTGCTTTTGAAAGTATACACGTTCGGTACTGTTTCTGGTCTCTCCCGAAGTACTTGTCTACAAGTAGTTTTAGTTGGCCTGTCTCAATTATTTTTGCATATGTCATTCCTAACCCCCACCTGACTACTTTATCTGAAAATCACGTCACTCAACAGGCACAGTGACGCAATGAGGCCTGTTTCTAAAAATTTTAATCCAACTGCATATCACATTTCCTATTAGTTTCAAAGAACATTTCGATTTGGACTTAATTATCCAGCTTAGTGCATATAGTCTTTTTCGATTGCATCAGCATTATGCTTTTCATTCGAAGATTGTTATAGTTTATAGTTTGCAGATGACACTATTCGTGTTACAGTGCCAACCATGATTAGTCAACCCAAAACTTTGGAATTCGTGCCTTTTGCTCCAAACAAGGCCAGGTACAAGAATACACTGATTACAAGCTCACAATTCAGGGAACGATCGGTAATTAGTGAAACGCTCCCGAAATTACGTTGAATGTTTTCACATATCACATATCACCATAAAAACAGCATAACATAACAGAATTCATGACTTATTCTGTATTCATTCTATGAAACCTTCCACTTCTGACGCTCAAGTTTTAGATGGAAACAAATGTACTTATGAGACAGCGTTGTGACGAGGTAACATGATTGTTAAAATATAGCAAGCACATTGGTTGCTGTTCTATGATCTATTCACGAATAGGTTTCTGCAATTTAATTCTTTAAGAGTTTGAATTGATTGTATTGAAGAATTCAAACCAAAAAACTTGGAAAAGAGTTGAATATATTTTGTAGATAATTTGGTACTCCCGTAGTGTGTGTATCAGGTTAAGCCATAATTTTATTTAAATATTCCCTATTTTAGTTCTATTACGAGTTCGAGATTGCCTGTGTTAGCCAAGTAAACATATTCCCTGCCCATAGGTATCAGTCCCTTTACACAACTTGATGTAAAGTAGGCGAACAAAATTAGTTACCTCCACATGGTACACACACTTCTGGAGCACCGGTAACTTTATGCTATATATGAAAGTTTGAGACAAAACTTTTATTAGCATTTGTAAATCATTCAATCCTCTTTAATATTATTTTAAGATCGAAATTAGTTTAGGTGATCCAACCGGGTTAATCAAGCTGGAAAAATTATATTAAACAAGTTCAAATTAATTCCTAAATGAAAGGTTGCAACAAAATTTCAACCAAGATTTCTCTTATTCATTCAAGAATTTTCATCAATAATTTTAATATGATACACCCAATTACATTTACAGTTATTGTTCCTAATTCAAACTAAAACAATTTCAAGCTAAAAATAACTCTTAAAAGAAATAAATAAATTACCGGACATACTTAAATTAGGTGACTCTGATCGACCCAATGCAGTAGCTATTTGACTATGATTTGTATTAACATGATTTAAAATTAACTATTCATCATTTCAAGGATAGAATTGATTTATTTAAAATCATATGGTATCTGTACATTACGGTGCTGTGTGAAATGTGGCAATATGCAAACAAATTTTGTCAATAAACTTGAAAGGATAACACGTTGAAACGTTGAAGCATTCTTGTAGCGTGTAAACATATACCCAAGTTAAAATCCTTAGTAATATATTCATCGGTATAACCATCCATATGAGCATTGATCATTTTTATGGGTACTCCCGAAGTATGTGAACCAAGATGGCGGACACCGGAACGTAGTATGTGTACCATGTGAGGGTTAGGCCATAATTACTGATACAATTACTACGGAAGTCACTTGGCTAGTCCACGAACTCCTAATAGATCTGAAATAGGAAAAATTGGAATAAAAATATGGCCTAACCCTAACCTGGTACACATACTACGTTCCGGTGTCCGCCATCTCGGTTCACATACTCTGGGATTACTTTCTTATGTGTCTGAAAGTGATATAGGAACGCTACCTTATTGCCAAAGTTTTACTTTTTGTTCAATTTGTTAATATCCATTGTCATTCAGACATCGATATAACAAGGCTGTAGCTATTTGTATCACGTTATGCTTTACTCTTGATCACACTCCATTATTCTGGATTCATCATTTTGATTTAAAATGAATGTTTCCCCGAGCACCGACTTCCTTCAAGCATCGACCTCCTATACTTCTATAACATTGGAATATGGGGTGTCCATAAGTCCTTTTACAGTTCCAATTTTGGTATGAAGTCATTCTCATTATATCTTTACCAGGTTTGTTGTTTTTTAATCAGTAATTGTTCAAGTATTTTCACTCCATTTATTACATCTTCATTTTTATTTCAATTAATACATCTGTGAGGGCCAAAACAATACATAGTATCGGTAAATTCCATTTGCAATTTTACAAAATTTTAAGATTTGTTTGACACCCTATATATTTCGAATGAGAATGATAGTTTGGAACCAGTTTGTTTGTAGGCGCCAACTCGCGAAACCACTCTTAAGATAAACATAAGAAATTTGCAATGGTGAAGTATAGGAAGAATTTTCATGGGATCAAAAAGTCGGGGAAACATTTATAGTAGGTGTTTGTACACGTCATAACTTTATTTTAAGAATTATTGTCGTTAATACAAAAATACGAAAATTATTACATTTGCTTACATTTATCATCTATATGCAATTAACCATCAGTATCAGTGGTGGTATTTAGAGTGTTCTTCGACTGTTGTGATAACCGAGCAAACCCGATTTGTTTTTCTAGAGCAGTGGTTCTCAAACGGTTGGGCTCGACCCATAAGGGAGGCGTAGACAATTTTGAGGGGGGAAGGGGGCTAATTGAAATAAAAATAATTGTCAGATTTTATCTTGTTCGCCTTGTTGCCTATGCTCCACAAAAACTCATTATTTATTTCATCATTTACGTTCTATTCACGTATTTTCAACGTGTTTTTGAATGAAACATACTTTCGCCTTACTATCTATTCTTATTGTTATCTAGTTATTTTTAAGGTGGGCCGCTAGACTTGACAAATTCTAAAGAGATGGTGCGGCTCAAAAAGTTTGAGAATCACTGGTACATGTATGCTTGTGCTCATTATTACTGCTATAACTTTGTTACTGCTATACATCACTCACGCTCGGCTGAAAATTTTGAATTCACGGTGATCGGTGAGATTCAAAGACTTGTAGATTACCCATTCTTCTAGTTGTTTATATTGCTGTCCTAATAATACAGGTATGTCTAAAAATTTGCCAGAATTTATGGTAATAACAATTGTAAATTTGAAGAAATTTTATTGTATGATAAATGAAAACTACAAGCACAATAAAAACTATAAATAAACAAAGACAAGGAAATTTTAATTGTTATTACTATAAATTGGGGCGAAATATTTTGGACACCTCGGACAGGTAGATATATAAAAACTTAGCTACAATAAATTGTCGGGGCAAACTCTATAGCTTTTGTTATAATAATATTATTATATATTTATTTGATATTGTTAATTCACGAGCTATTTTTAAAATCCTGTCTATGGCCATATTACTTCATTTTATATAAATTATTTCTACCTGAAGTTTTTGTGTAAGTTCACGAAAATTTAACACTTAAATTACCAGCTAACACGTCTATGGCCATATTACTTCATTTTATATAAATTATTTCTACCTGAAGTTTTTGTGTAAGTTCACGAAAATTTAACACTTAAATTACCAGCTAACACGTTCGATGATCCATAGTTAGAATATCAGATACTTTTCTGTTGCATGTCTTATATCAGGGGTGTGCTACCTTTAATACAAGAGGGTCAGATAGAAATAAATTATCCTTGTGGGCCGCATTTGATCCGCCGACCGCAGGTTGCACACCCCTGTCTTAAATAATGCGAGTGTCTCACCTGAATATTACTACTGTGGTATTATATTCTTGGTTTACTTACTAACCAGGGCTACTTTAACATTACTTCTTTCTCCAGTTACTTCAGTTACCAACATGCAATCTTCGGAAACAGAAAACAGAGGTAATGTATATTTGAAGCATGTGCTTGTATTTTCTCTATTTTACATCTTCTGTGGTTGTGTTTGTGTTTATTCTTTTGCTTGTATATGCTCGCTGTTTGAACCATTAAACGAAATAGTTTTCAGAAAAAGTTGTTGGTTAAAAAACACATTTATTTAAATAATACAATTATTACCGTCTGGTCTGTGTGGTCGATGTTCCACGTTTGTATTCATGAAGACTTCGGCGGTGTGGCGATTGATGGATTGGATAAAAAACTTTTGATTGTACCAGAACTATATGAACACCTCACCAAATTCTCAAGACGCAGAGGAATTAAATTTCTTGGCTGGTAGTTAAAATCGGATTCAAAATCTTTGCTAGCACGATTTTTGAAATTCCACATTCGTGAAAATAAATACGAGCGAATTTGTCATTTGTTATCATGATACCTTGAAAAAATCACTTTCAAAAATATAATGTTCTTGCTAGTTTTTCCTGGTTAAATTCGAGGTCGATGATTCATCCAGTCAATGTTTTGTATTTATATTTAATGATGGGAAGAGTTTACTTGGCACTCTGCCAACCAAGCTTGCCATAAATAGAAACCTGTGCATTGAACTGCAGGTTCTTTCTTCTTGTTTACTTTCTACTTTGGATCCGTATGTGCCAGTTGTCACAAGAGTGCTCGAACGAGATAGTATAGATAGAAATATTTATCTCATGCCACAAAATAACAAGTATATATGTAAGAAATCGTAGTGTAAAGTTAAATAGGAATAGCAATCATAAATGGTTGAATTTCTGCGACGCTAAAAATACCCTTTGCTGCAACAAAGGAGAAAAAATAAGCATTTAACAAAGTATCCCAACAGATTTTAATGTCGTAAATTCATTGTTAATATTTGATTGCATGGTTGAAAAGCCTCCATTTTTGTCATGTTTGAACAATAGTGCCAACCAATTACAATGCAACTACTTTTAAAAATAAATAAATAAATTGATCCGTTTTATTTTTAGACAAAATCTCCCCGACCGCAACGTCACGTAATAGCTCAGTGTTTAATGGCGGTAAGAAGCATGCTTATAAAATTCCTATGGAATTCGTATATAATATAGCGGTAATGTCTGTACATATAAGTTGTCCATAAAGTCCATTTACAATTTCAATTTTGTTTGAAATTTGCTGCCTCAATTTTCATAACAAACATTTTTGCGTATGTGTGCCTTATCTTGATAGACTGTTTAGAAAGTTTAGTAAACCTAATGTTATTTCAATTCAAGTATGAAGGTCCACTCCGACTCCATGGCTTTGTCACTACAGCTCCAAGCATGCAAAATGTGAAATAAAGTTTAGTCTATTTTAGGCTTCATTTTATTTCATCTGTCAGTGTTTTGTAACAACTTCCTTATAACGCTTTTAACTATCCCATACCTTTTTATAGAGATATGCTTATAGTATTTGTGAGCTCTTTATGTATTTTAAGTTATCCCCCCACAACATTAGATAGAATACATGGAGGATTATGGGTAAGAGGGTAGACCAATTGAATAATATTCTTACATTCGTCGAGCTAACATTTCCCTGTACTCACCAGGCAAATGAAATTGGTCATTTTATTGATCCCTGTTTGAATGTGGATGAAATACTTTCATTTTTGTATATGTGTCTTTTATTTCACAGATACGTTTAACAAATTTTACTATTTTTCTTAAAATTCCAAGTTCTTACCTTAATTACTGTCCTTACAAATACTAAGGTAATGAGCTCAAATGATGTAATGTATCATAAACACAATCTAACAATTTCAATCACTATATTATTAGTAAGAATAAATTTATCTACAATTATTACTCACTCTTATCGCAAATAAGTTCAGAAAAAGATACCACGTGATTTATCTGAACGTAATATCTCACCATATCCCACCAATATGAAAAATTTTCATCCACCTCGAAACATTTTCAGAAAATTTTAGATTACAATTTTTTTGAAATGGCCATTTATTGTCTGCAATGAATCAGTAATAAATTTAAACTTTATTATCCAATAGTACCTTCATTTTCTGGCATCACGAGTTAAAATTCTTGATATGGATAAGTCGCGACGTAGCGCCTTAGCTAGGTCATACAGATCCTACGGCATTTATTCCCAACCGTCTTCGTTAAATTACCACCTTCCCCTATAGACACAGTAAAGAACAATCATATATTTTTTTACGAAGCTTATTTACGACTTTCGCCCGAACAAGACCTTGTATAAGCGATCACCGATATACGACAATATGTAAGGAGGCATTGTTTTTGGGGCTGGAATATTTTTGGTTCAGCATCGCCCTTTTTACTATGTGGGTGATGGGCATTTGTACCCGAGGTATGTAACCTATTATGCCAAAATCGTTTAGTCTAACGCTTTAACCGCTGGGTCACCGAGCCAACCTTAACCAGAAGTTCGTACTATTTTTGTGATGACCAAACTATTTCCGATTTGGTGTTGCCACATTATTGAGTGAGCTTGGTATTTGAACCTGAGATGTGAAACCTGCGACACCGAAACAGTCAAATCTGAAGGCGGCGTCCACTTATTTAAACAAGTAGGTCGTACAGAATAATTGTGAATGAAAACCATTCAACAACATTTATGGGTGACGCGGCTCGATAACCCGGGTTTATCGCGTTTTCCCTCACACTGAAAAACTTTTTTTTTATCATTCTTAATCATGTATGTACAATGTTCATTTTCGACAAGTAAAAAAATAAACATCTGACTCACTGACTTTTATTATGCTTCGAATACTGTCTAACTATTTCTTTACAATCTGATTACAGATAACGGAATCTCAGAAAAAATGACATCACAAATGTGATCTGGACATTTCCCTCGTCACAGAACTCTACGAATTTGTGAATGAAAACTATGCTGGACATCTTAATGTGTACGAATTCTTTGAGAATATTTGAAAGACTTACAGTAGTGGAAAGTTAGGGTTAGAAAATACGACAGTTAACGGGGAATGAAACAATTTATATCCAATAATATTGACACAAAACTGACTCTTTTTAAACTTTGAACAACGCATTCAGAACGCATTCATTCTCATGTTATCTGTAAAGTATTGTATTCAAGAACTTACTGAAAATGCTTTTCGACGTTTATATTATTGGGACATTATATTTAACTTTTCACGAAAAAGAGTGGCTTAATCCAGGGGTGTGCCACGTGCGGCCCGCGGGCAAAATACGGCCCGTGAGTGAAAATTGTGTTGCCCGCGGAAAAGTGTCAATTTTGAATAGTGTGCGGTTCGCGGAAGTTTTCAGTTTGGTTCAATGTGTTAAGTGCCAGTAATTCCAATCCATTTACCAATTATTTTTCATGCATATGACGTTACAATGCCCTTAATTTTTGTGCTTGCAACTACTAGAATACACCAGTTGTTTGTATCTGGCCCTCCTGTATTAAAGGTTGCACACCCCTGGCTTAATCAATCGCACTGCATTTTACAGTAAGGTTTTGTAATTTTTTTTACTTTTTACTTATTTTCGTTGTGGTTTATAATCCGTATAAATATATTTGCCTTTGCTATTATTTGAAAATTTCACAAATTAGTTTAAAAGCTTGAGTGATTGAAATTGCACATGAATAATGTTTATTCCTTTGAGTCACAAAGCTGGAAGACTTACGAAGATGACTCTTCGAAGCAATCGCTAATGTTACATAAGTTTCAAATACTGTTAAATTATATTCACAACTGTATTCAGATACGAATTAACACAAACCTATCTAATATTAATATTTTATATAATTTCAATTTATTCGTTCCTTATTAATTTTTTCGAAGTTGAATATTTTGATACTGCCGTAGTATATGTACCAGGTTAGGCCATAATTTTATTCCGATTTTCCTTTTTCAGTTCTATTACGAATTCGGGGACTGTTTGTTTTAGCCAAGTAAATATACCCCCTGTCCATAGGTTTCAGTCTATTTACACAACTTGATGTCAAGTAGGTGAACAAAATTAGTTACCTCCATATTGGTACACACACTTCTGGAGCGCCAATATTTCAATCCATGCCTCCGTAATTGGTCACATGTTAAAATACTGTTTATAATGTGACAGTATTTCTCGGTTTTTCCAACTTGATTATACTTTGAATACATCTGAGGAATCTATTGTAAAATAAGTTTCTGTAATTTGTTTGGTGCATATTTATCTTATATATTTGTGATTTTTTTGCTGAGTTCAAAAATTATTTAACAAAAAATCAATCAGTCAAAAATTACGACTGCACATTTTATCTTCAGTGATTTAATAAATGTGATTTATATTGTACAATTAATTTTTATTTTTGTACAAATTTAGAAATTAGATCATTAAACTGGTGAGGGCAAAAACAGATTGGAATTTATTCAGAAATGATATTTTTGTTGTTAAGGGCCCGGACCCTGGCAACTATAAAGACATCCCCTGGTGATTGGTAGCCTGTGATTAACAGATAAGATAACGGATAAACTATTGACGGATAAACCGTGGATATTGTGGAGAAAAAGTGAAAACTCACCATCTTCTAGCATACGCTTTAGACCTGCCGCCTCCCTCACAGAGCGTTCGTCCCAAACCGGAGAGATCTGAATGCCATTGAAACACTCAATGAGCTCAGACCTAATTTCGGACACGCCCTGCACCACGCGTGATTGGAAGTTCCAACGTGTTGGTGCACAAGCTGGGAGACGGCGGCTACATATCTGGCGAAGGAGGTCAGAGCGTTTCGGCGAAACGGAAAAAAATGAAGAAAACCCCGAAACATTTGCAAAAAATATACGGACGAGAGGGGTATCAAGACACATATTTCTAATAACGAGGTTAAATTGGTGTGCATAACAATGTAAAAAATGCGCATGAGGAAAATCTTCTTTTATATAAACTTGAACACCATGTTTCGATCCACTCATGACTGCCGCGCCGTCATAGGTTTGAGCTATCAATTTTGACTTCGCGTTGTATGGCTGTAACACTTCTTTCAGTACAGCCGATATCCCGCAAGCCGTGCGATCAACGATTGGTACAAAGCTGTGAAATCTCTCGGTAGGTTTACCATCTTTCACAAACCGAAAAATCACAGCCAGTTGGGAAACGCACGTGATGTCAGTTGTCTCGTCAGACTGAATCGAAAGGAACTGGCAATTCTCAATTTCCAGAGCCAAATGTTGTAAATAAATTTTATACATTGAGTCGAGCAAATCATTTTGGATATCCTTAGATGTCCCTTTCGAAACAGTTGCGGCATCAAGATGATCTCTCAATACTGTATCTAGGGATGCGGTGTATTCCACCATATTCAAAAATACCCCTCTATTAGAAGAGCCAGCCCGTTCATCGTGCCCACGGAGGGACAGCTCGTGACAACCAATGAACTTCAAAACATCTATCAATCGACCGAGAACATGGCGGTTTTCTCGACGTTTTGGTTGTGCCGACGAATAGAAACCGCGCGTCCTTCATCCAACTGTGCTGCAATATTAACATTTCCGAATGTTCGGTATTTTACTGCATTGTCCAGATGCTCCATAGAAGATTGATGATCCCTGGCACGCTCGAAAAAATGTTTAAGATCTCTAAAACCAAATTTACACCAACGTGAGTCACGGGCGGTAGCAAAAAGTAGGCAATAAAAAAAAAAGTCCATTTTTGTCCTCGCTGTAACACAACCATTCGTGTTTTTTTATACCAAGTTTCTGCGCACAACGCCGACGCTTTCCTCCGTCATGGGATTGTTCCAGTGAAAAATTTTTTGGTTGATAAGGCCCAAGACGTTGTACCTCTAATTTTTGTTCCAGCGGCAGCTGCGAAAACGGAGTGCGAAGTAGTGCATCAACCTTATTCATTATGAGGTCTAAGGCAGGAAATGCGAAGCCGGAAAGAAGTGAGGAGCTCAAAAGGAATGTGGAAAATCAAAAGCAAATGGACTAAAGGTCTCTAACTTATTCAAATAGCGAAACAAGCGACAAAAAACGAAGGCGAGGAAACTATCAACTCTTCAAGCAACCAACGAACGAGAAGGAATGCGTGAATATGTCAACACGTTGTTGTAAGAAACGTCGGCATTGTGTCGTCATAATTTCGGGGCTAGCCCCGATCGGCCCCCGATGATTTAGTAAAAGAAACAGAAAACAAACGAGACAAACGCGGCGAATGGAAAATAAAAGAGAGAATACGATATACAATGAGCAACCGGGGCAAAATCGGCGTCGCCCCGTCGACGTTCGGCGAAGGCTTTGCGAGCGAAAAATGAACCATGTCGGGAGAATATGGCTAGTGTAGACAGTTTGTGCAACCGATATTGAGGTATTTTTCGAATATTTTTTATTATACCCCGGTTGGCCCTATTGACGCGCCGCCACTAGATATGTCACTGATAAACTAACTACTGACTGCAAACTAACTTAAGTTGTTAATTGCATTGGATTAACTACATAGACAGCGCTGGATGATTAGTAGCATATTATAAACAGACAAAAATAACTGATATGGTACTGATAAACTACTGACTGTTCCTAGCAAATCAGCCTCACTTACTGATACGATAACTGATTGGACACTGATAAACTGTTGTGAGTATATTAACTCTATTCACTGTTGTTAACTGCCTTGGCCCAACTATATAGAATAGAGTCAATAGACATATCCAGCTAAATATTATGATAATCTAAACAGCTATGATAAGCTTACCATACGTCCCACTTTATGAGGGACAGTCCCGCTTTTTAGCGTCTTGTCCCGCCGTACCGGCAAGTCAGCCAAAATTCCCGCTTTTGGGAACATGTTCTCGTTACTGCTGTTTCTATCCTACTTACTGAAGGTGAATGCGTTATTGCGTTTGTTTCGTTGTTTCACGCTAACATTGTTAGCAAACCTATCGTATGTAAATCCAATACTAATTTTCTAAATTCGAAATATTTGTACCGTATCGTTAACATCAATAAGGGGTCGTTGTCTTTGGAGGCGTCCCCCGCTTTGAAGTCACAAAAATATGATAACCCTAAGATAAGATAACTAATGTTATTAAAGCACACTAGCTCCGTTTAATAAGTTTACTCTGATTAAAGGTACAAACATGTTTGAGACATCACCTACCATTGCTTTGATCTGCTTTCCACGTAGAGTAATTGCGTTTGTAGGTAAGTGTATCAATTAGTCTATTATGAATCCAGGTGAATCGTTATAGAAAAATTTACTGTAATATTAGCCTCAACCTGCCTCAAGTTTCATCCGAGGTTAAAAGTAATTTAGCAACATATGAGGTAACCATGAAGACGACCCCGTTACTTCCAAATATAGTAGACTGTTTCCAGAGAGCTCTTTAGAGTGGTTCTGTGGAAGAACACTCACCAGCCAGCCAACCTGCTACTTGCAAAACAGTCAACGAACGAATTATGTGTCATCAAGAAAGGCAATCGCATTGCCATCAAAGTCTATGTAGTATTTGCACTTTTTGCCGAGAGGGAGAGTTTAAAACTGCCATACGTTATATTGATACATGAAAGCTTGTTTTGGAAATTGTAAAAATTGTATCATATATATAGTGTGTCCATAAAGTCTTCATTTTTTTAAAATTGCAAAGGGTATTTATCGATACCGTATATTGTTTTGATTCCCACAGATGTATTAAATTGAGTAAAAATACTTGAACAATTATTGATTAAAAAACAACAAACCTGGTTAAGATATATTGAGAACTGACTTCATAACAAAATTTAAATTGTAAATTCACTCACTGAGTATAGTGCTGTTCTCCATGTATCGACTCGTTACTCTCAAAATACACGTTGTGTCGCTTGGTATGCCCTGTGATGATTTGGGTCCTAGAATCATTCAAAGAATCAAACAGTCACGACATTTGACTCTGCTGATGTATACTGTCGTCCTTCAGAAGCATGGTGTTTTGATTTGAAGTCATTCCCTGGTTCGTGCTGCTTAATTAAGACTCTCAGTTGGCGTTTGAACTAATAAAAACCTAGTGTACGAGATTTGAACAACTGAGACCACGCTGAGGTCCGCTATGTCCATAACATTGTCTGACATCCTTGTTTTAGGTCGTCCTCAGTTGTTCAAAATGTCGCAGAAACGAGACCGACCAATGGCGTCGATTTGTGAAGAGTGCCAGGACTGGCCAGCAATGACCATCCTGTTTAAGAGAGATAGTACGAGCTTAGGGCATCACGTTTTGTGAGTGTTAGAATAGCTACCCGTACCAATACAAACAATTAGCAACACAATCATTAAAGTATTAACAAATAATATAATAAAAATCGATTTATTGTACAGTTCATGATTGTTTTATGATAACAATAATGCACAAACGCACGGAAAATTCAAAAATCAAAAATGTTCAAAACGAATCAAATGTATTCCTAAAAACTATATTTCATGTAAAAAAAATATCAATAATTTCTAATGGTTTTATTCCCAAGTACAGGATGTCCAAAATAATTGAGACTCACAAAATTGGTAATCATATTAATGGGTTGCAATTTGGGACAACCTGTGTTATTTTTGGTGGAAATAATTTTAGGTGAAAATAGGTTTCTAACTTGTAAAATTTTGCATTGTATTCGAGATAGAATTATATTCATGTTGGGAATACTTATTTGCAATTATAGACATTATGAAACGATTTATATTTGATTCGTTACTATGTTCGTTTACTATGTTGTAATTGAAGTTAGATATTTGGGAGTGAATTTGAATCGGTGAATCAACTAGTTAGTCCATAATCACAAAACCTCATATTGATAGTTGTACACTAGGTTTAATAGAATTGTAACAATATAGCAAAATATTCCAGTTCCCAAAATACGCTTTGATATTTTTAAATCGCAGCTTAGCGGTTCTTTATTCAAGGCAAAAATGAGCTTTCATACTCCTATGTAAAATGAATATAGAGGTTCCTTGTAAAATCGCTAAACCAAAACCCAATTAATTCATTTAATTCCAAAAATGAATAGGAAATGAAGAAAAAAAACAGTTGGAGAAATTTACTGATTTTGAACACTTTTTAATCTGAGTCACCGCTTAGCAGTCACTTGTTCAAGAAGAAAAAGAGCTTCAACACTCCATAAAAATATATATAGGCACTCCATGTGAAATCGATATATTAAAAAACGATGAATATATCATAACTTCAGTCTATTTAAAAAAGAAGATGCAATTAGGAAAAGATAAAAAGATACAGTTCGGGAAATTTACTTTTTTAATCTCATTTTAGTCTGAGTCACACTTAGCAGTCCCTTGTTCGGGACAAAATTGAGCTTTTATATTTCATATAACAGATATACTACTTTATATGCACATATATAAGTAATGAATTTTCTGTAATCGATTTTCTGTAATCGATAGATCAAAATTCAATGTAATTGTCCTTACTTCAATCTCTTTTCTATATAATAAAACATCTGAATATGCAGCAAGGAAAAAAGAGAAGACAAAATATAAAATTCGATAAAAATGATTTTGCAGAAATTATACACAATCAATCAATATGTTGAAGCATTAGAATGAAACTTTTCAAATGTAAATAAAATAAAGAAAAAATATTATATATTTCTGACTATGTGAATTTTATACAGAAAAGAATGTGAAGTACTGTTTTGTGTCTCATTCCTGAACATACTCAAAAAATTTTGACTTTTCGATATATCCTGTGTGATAGAACTCCGATACTGCCGTAGTATATAGTACCATGACAAATACGGATTAGGTTATAATATTATTACGATTTTCGTTAATCTTTCCGGTTGAACTGAGAGTGAGTCAAGTGAATATACCCCCTGGCGAACAAAATGGAGCGCCAACACTTTTCCGTTGGTAAATTTTGAAAAATACACGTGAAATTATTATGTGAATTTCTAGAACACCCGATTTTATTATTAGTTATAACTATGTGTATTGTTCACAAAGTTTATATAAAATTACGTTATTTTTAAGGTATTATTTTAGTTAACAAATACATCACAAATTGAAAGTTAGAGTTATAAAGTCAGTATTAAAATATGCTGAATGGTGGGTCAATACAAAGTAAAATTGTAATATTTGTAATATTTAATTATCAAATGATTTTAATAAACACCTTGAATTCACTTCGGAAACCAGTGATTTCATGTTGAAATCAAATGTAGTTATATTGATCTGAAATTGTTTTTTCGAAATTATTGCCCTTGAAACGTGACTAAAATGAAAAAAAGGAATTGTGTCAAATTTTTTTAAAATGGTGAGAAAATCAGATGTTGTTAAAATTATATTTCGCTTGGGTTAAAACAGGGGTGTGCAACCTGCGGCCCGCGGGTCGTATGCGAGAAAATTGTGTGGCCCGCGGGCCAGTCCCAATTTTGAATGATGTGCGACCCGCAAAACGAGTTAAATAAAGGTGCGGCCCGCGGTTTCACCCAGTTATTTGTATCTGGTCCTATACTGTATTGAAGGTTGCACACCCCTGCTCTGAAATATTAACCTTGGCCCAATAGGCATTATTGAACTCGTGTGCGATATGTCAATTATATCTATTACTCTATATTAACTTTTCTAATGACATTTCCGTCGCACTATAGATTTATACAAGTCGCCTATATTCCATGTAATATAAAGTGTTTAATAATATTTTCCTGAGGAATGATACAGATCTTCTGAGTATTGCAGTTTCGCAATGTGCTGAACGACAGCCATATACAGCCAGTCTTTTGTGAGTGGTTCAAGTCTTTTGTGGATGAGGAGCGCTCGTCTACTAGATTTGTGTGTCTTCTTTTTTATGTCCATTCGATGGGAGTTCTAAAATAGAATGAACTGATTATCAACATTTGATAACTACCAGGAAAATACTTTTTACCTAGAAATGTAGCGATGGATTGAAGAAAGAGAAAGTTTATACTAATATATCAAACAATGATGCGCTTCGCTACGTTACGGGCCGTGGGAGCTGAAGGGTCCGGTCTTGCGGGTATAAAAAATGTTTCAAGCTACTCCAAAATGGCTGTGAATGCAACACAATTTTTTTTTACATTTTAAAAGGGTGGAGTTCCGACCTACTTCTGAGGGTTTGAAATGATATCAAAGAAGGTCTATTACGAATTTTGCACATTTGTGACTTTCATTGACCGAATTCGAAACAACACCGGGTTGGCCCTTAATTCGCTTTGGCTTACAAACTTAATGAGGGAGTGCAACTTTGGTATTTCATGTATCAATAAGTAAGTAGCTCAAACTTAATCTTCAACGTTTTGAAATCACGAAATTTAGGTTTAGGGCTCAGGTTCTCATAACTCCTATCTTAAGGATGCTTCTTAACTTTTTTAACTGTGTCCTTTATTAGTGTTATTCTATGTAGAGAAAAGTAAATGAATTATAAATTACACGCCTACCTGTGTTGTGTTGGCCACTGCTTGTCTGGTTTCCACCGGTAGATGGAGCGTTAGTTGTTCCCGTAACACCTAGGAACAAAGAGATAATTTTGTTCAAGATGTTAGCAGAAATGTTACAGTATAATATCACTCAAGAAGACCGTTTAAAGTTGGTTATTGCTCTTGAAATATATCAGGAAAGCAATATGGCTGATGACCTTAGCCACGCTCCCTGCTTTTTATGAGTGGTAAATGATCAATTGAACAAGACAATAGCTTATATTTTAAGAAAATTCTTCTTATATTGACTTTGCAAGACGTGTGCCTTCTTTGTGGTGATAGAAAAACTTTTTGTCCAGCAATATTGTATTGTACCCTTAGTCCTCGTTCTTTCAAGAACCCATGTTCTTGGCGGAGAGCAGTTTAATTAAAAAGGACTGGTATATATATTCGGCGATTTGGCGCATTCTGCTAAGCGTTAGGATTACGCTCTCCACCGCACCTCTTAATACCTCGCGTGGAATTATGTGAGATAGGATTGCTGGACTCCTCGCCGCTGTAGGGTGCTTCACGTAACTGCTGGTCGGTTACGGCTTTCTTCACAATTAAGTCAATGTATCTGAAAGCAAAATAACTATCAAACTAATCCCATACGCGACCTAGACTGGTAGTTGGACGAAATGCCGTGGTTTGACATATGATTAAGATGGGACAAATATATAAATCCTATCCTATCCAAACTGCGTTTTTTTTTCACTTTGTCTACTAACTAATACGAATCCGTGTGTGGCCGTTGTTTAGGGATGCTTGAACGAGATAGTATTAAAAAGATATAATCTCTTTCCACAAAATAGCAGATAGTAGAAATGCATGACTTAACCGTTAGTTATTTGCTGTTTGAATAAGTTAAATTTTGTTTTGTCTGAAGAGGTTAGATTATGATCTTACGGGAGCTGACGAACATACTTTCTATTTCGTGGAAAGACATTATGGTATTCTCCTATATATAATATATTGGCAATATGATAACTGAGCTGAATTATGAAAAAAATAACTCTTCAAGTAGACTTGAAGTGGAGTGAAAATCTGAATGAATTAGCAGTTTAATGATTGCACCATGAGCTACAGTTATGAATACAATATTTGAGCCAGTGGTTTCCAACCTTATTAATAATGGAGTGGAACCACAATAAAACATTCCAGGGGCAGACTAATATGTTGGATGATGTCTATCTATCGCTGATATGATTATACTCGCTACCTTCTATTGAATCGTGCATTTTTAATAAAATGAAAGAGTGAAAATGGATGATATGACTAATTAAAGGTATATTTCCAATTGCAATAAACATTTTACATTGCTAGGGAATCTTCATATTTATATCTCCTTAACGTTATTACAAGTCGGTTTTAATTCGAGTCGCCTTGCAAGTCCTGTAAATAAATGTTCGCAAAAATGGCTTCAACCAGTAATCTTCGTTGCAAGCATTGAGTTAGTGTCAAAATTATAATGTGTTAATGGTTAGGTGAACACCTATTGATAATAGTAAATCTGGAGAAGATCCAGAAGCCTGAGAGATATATAAATCTAAAGCCATTGAATTGCAATTAACGTAATTTGCAGTCGTCGATTTTAAGAACCCAATTTTTGACCTGACGTTTTGAATAATTCTTATTGGTCGACTCAACCTATTTTCCGTTTTCTGTGGCGGCTTTTGTTTTCACAAAAACCTTATTAATTAATTAAAATGAAATTTGACGTGCTCTAAGTGACTTTAATGGTAAAACGTTTGCTTCAAAAGTATGACATATGAGGCAAAAACTTCCCACATTTCAAATTAGAATTAAAATAAAATGTGTTTTTTTTTGCTCCACTTTTTAAAATTACATGAATGAATGTACTTTGCTGTTAAACATGCCTTATGTTAGCAAGCTTCGATTTTGCATAGTTACCCAAATTAGCAATTGGGATCGTTTTCTGTGGAGAGTTCCGAGTTTCAGCTGAAAAAATGTTTACTCAAAAAATTGTAAAACAGAGTAAAATAGAAAAAAATATCTATGTTCAATCGTAATATGCATGTTCGAAAAACTTAGAGTATAAATATGCAATTGCTTTACAGTCTCTTATTGAAAGCTGATTAAGAAAACGATCAAGTAAGTTGAAACTAACCTACGGTTATATGCGATTTATCCAAGTATGGGAAATAATTTAAACGCTAAAAGCATGCAAAAATCTAATTCAAAGACAATACAATATGAAACTTTGGCATAATTGGTTGTATAAAAGTATTCGAATAAATAACGAATACTAAATTGCCTGGGAGACAAAAATTTTTACGTATATTGTCCCATAAGATAGAAATTAGGGCGATGCGCAACACTCCCTGCTTTTAAAAACATCTTTTATTCAGATTTTTCATGCTTTGAACTCACTCGACAGTTTATGTCAAGTTTGCTTTATTGATTCAATGATTCTATAGTTTTGACCATTTATCTGTTATGCTAATCATCTAGTCGAAATAAATTATTTTATGTAATTCCCACAATCAAATATTTAATTTACCGGATATCTGTTTAAAACGACTCCTATTACTTTTTCAAATGATTTACCTGAATCAGTGTTAGTTCCATTCCTTTGCCTCATATCGGTCAAATGCTTTTCAATCCCTTGTCCACATGCAGTTCCTCTAAACCAAACACGGAGAGGAAGCATTTTTTCCCAAACCCAGTCTAAGACGTCTGAGTAGAGGAACGGATTCATTGCAGCATTTATAGGCAACAGAATTATGGCGGTAACAGCATATGCAAGATCTGAGACAGGCACTCCTGTTGAAAAATAATTGTATGTTAGTAACATTTCAAAAAAAAGTATCCTGTGAATAAAAGTAGTTGTAAATGATTTCGATTTCCACGCCCTATATTTTACCCAGCGTGTAATAAAAAGGACGGTCAGGTCAAACTGGGAAAATTCTGGACATTCCTAAAGTATTAACTCCGTACATACCAGTGGCCAATAATATAGTGCAGTGGTTCTCGAACTTTTTATGCCCTTCTTAGAATTTGTCAAGTCTCGCGCCCCAGCTCAAATATAACTAGCTAACACAATAAGCTGAAAATGAAAAAAAAAAATGGAAAAACTTGCTCACCTGACACTTTGAGAAAAGCCATGATGCAAATCGGCATCCAGCAGCAGAAGTCAGTCAAAACAATTCGTGTAACTTTTCTCTGCAGAGCAATAATACGATCCTCCGATGTAGCCTTGTTTGCTGATGTCTTTCTGGTCGTTTTTCTGAAGAAAAATCAATTTTTGGTTGCAAGTTAACTATTAATAATCCATAAGAGTAGGGCTCTGATAGAACAATAATAATGGTACTGAAACTTCACATTATCAAATAATTGCAAATACCATATTTGGTTTAGCTGATTAATATAACTAATTTATGCTTGCTCTCAAACCTTTGCCGTTAAATAAATGCCTGTACACAAGCGGCTAATTATAATAAAAGAGCTACGTTATGAAAGAGTTGGATTCTTTTTTGTTTGAAGTTGCTATCCGAAATTAATTTTTGCACAATAAAATTCTCAGAGTCTTTGAACCTAGTGTTTTCATCTTACATCGACAGCAAGAGTTTTGACCAAGTTTATTGTAATTCAAAACAACTTTAACTAAATAAATAAGATAAGTACACATAAATAAATCGTACAAAGAACATGACTATATTGTGCGACTAATTATCGTAAACTGATATGCTGAGAAAATCGGATTTCGGTCAGACGAAACATTTCAGAAATATATTTGTGTTAGTGTGCAGCAGGACTCTTGAACTGCATAGTACAAAGATGACTATGTCTAAATTCTACATATTAGCATCAATGTAATGTAATTGGATAGGTAATCTCAAATTAAAAAAAAATAGCGTTTTCGAAAGGATATCGAAGCATTCTTATCTAAACCTTGTGATCAGCAAATGTGGGATTTGATGAAAAAAAAGCAAATATTTTGCCAGGTTTAAAATTCTCAGTTTCTACAGAAATAATTTGTTATAACATTCATACCATAATTAGAAAATAAAATTAGAAAAATATCCACTATCTTGAATATATATTACCTGTAGATGAAAATATAGCTGACGAGGATGAATATGAACGCAAAGAAATTGAGTAAGATCAGAAACAACGAATATCCCCACGAACTGTCTTCGTCTCTGTTTGGAAACAAGCGAGGGAGACACACACTGTGTGCAGAGTAGTATCCGAAATATCGTTCTGGTACGTAAGTCGAGTTGAGTGCCTTGACTGCTGTGATCATATTGCGCCATGTGTAGCCACCGCTGTATATGATGTAATAATATTTAACATGAAATTGAATAAAAAAACAAATCACAGGCATTTAGCTCTTTTGTGATCAAGACTGCCTAAATAGGCTAATTATCCGCTCTTATAATTTTGCATATTCCATATTATGCTTCTTAAAATAGGTTCTGAAAGCGACTTAATTGTATGTGAAAAATGTAATGAAACCAAGAAAATGTATATGAAATTTTCAAAAATATGTCAATGACGGCATGAACATGAAAGTGCCACATGTACATCTTGTTTTGAAAATTACGCCCCATATAGGGATAACGCTCAGACGGACAAGTTCGGACGTTATTGTTATTTTTGGCCTACGAATATATCTTAAGACAATTGTTTGAGGGGGCGTGAATAAAGTTATTTGTTAGATTTGACCTTGCCCGCTATATTTCGGATATTTTCTGTTTTTTTATTTTGGACATTTACGTTCCATCCACGTATTTTCAACGTGTTTTTTGAATGGAACAAACTTTCGCCTTACTATCTGTCATTTGTAGTTTATTGTTAGATAGGTATCTTTGAGAGTGGCTTGAAAAGATCCACTGCTGTAGTCGTTATAATGGCATCACATCACGGACAGCCTAGTAAATCTCTATCTGCAACTTAGACAGGAAGTCACGTAAAGTCAACGGCAGACACATCGTTTCATTGACTGTGTTATTAAACAATGATAGGGCCGAATAACCAACAACAGTATAGTGTCTAAATTGCGGTGATGCTCGGTAATTTTGGTGATAGTTACTATTAACTATCTTCCAGTGAATGCTATTGGGATACAACGTAGAGGACATGGTGTGCTTCTAGCCCTGACATACGCAAACTATGGCCCGCGGGCCAAATCCGGCCCGTGGGGTAGTTCAATCTTGCCCCCACGACCCAACTAAAACAATATTTTTACGTTTCAGCTAAAAATATCTCAAGCAGTTTGTTGAGATCGAGATTAAATTTAGTTTGTGCACGATGCTCATTGCTTTTCACTCTTGCTTTTGTAACACTGTAAATATAATTCTGTTAAAAAAAAATGCCACACTTTTTCACGTCACACTTGCATGGCCCGCCAGTAGAGCTAGACAGAATTTTTGGCCTCTCGTCGAAAAATCTTGCCCACCCCTGCTAATGACCTTTGCCTTAGAATGATTATGAGTTAATTTACATGTCGGCGATCAGAAGTTAGTGTCAGGTTTGAAGCATATTAAAAACACTATCAGAAATTATACTTTTATCTTTAAATAATTTAGTATTATTGTTTTATTGCTAATATTATTGACGCGTTAAAATTTTAAATTATTCATGAGACATGAGCCTTTTCTTCGTTGGTTTTATACGATCACATCACGTAATTCGTGAGAGATCAAGGAAGTGAATTCCCTCAGGAAGTCGTGCAATGCCAATGGCATTGCCAACGACACATCGTCTGGCAAAATAATGCTGATGAGGAACAACATCGAGAATATTCAATAAAGCTAATTTTAGTGATTACACTGAATAAACATCAACAGCATAGTTGCTGAAATGTAGTTTGATGAATCGCGTTTGACTATAATTACTGTCTGGGTACTCCCGTAGTGTATGTACCAGGTTAAGGTTAGACCATAATGTTATACTGAATTTCTTTATTTTAGTTCTATTACGAGTTCGGGGACTGTCTGTGTTAGCCAAGTGATTATACCCTCTGTTCATAGGTTTCAGTCCCTTTACACTATGGCAACTTCATGTAAATTCGGCAAACAAAATGGTACACACACTTCTTGAGCGCCGAATATTCTACACTGAACAAACATCATCAATATAATTGCTAAAATGTAATTTGATGAATCGTGTTTGACTATGATTATTAGTGTCTGTTTGTTGTATATAGTCGTATGTGATAATATTCAATAGCTTGGTATTGCAATGATCTGTACTTGACTATATTTTAATGCTATTTGTCTAGAACTTTAATGAAATTGGAATAAATCCTGCAATCAACCAAGAATGAAAACGTCATCATCATGGGCATAGCTGAGACACTATTTTTTAAACATTTTGACTTCATAGATTCCATTGAAACTGCGTTGTCTATTGTCGTGATACTTTAGCTAAGAATGACATAATTATCATTTTTCATGAACCCAATTCTAGAAAAAGCATTTTTCAACTTGTTCACTTGTGACTTGGAGCAGAAATACGAGATATCGTGTAAAAATATATATGAACGATATACCGAATGGAAAACAACGTGGAAAGGAAGCTCTAACGCATTTTTGAACCAGTATTCACTTCATCATCAATATTTTAACAAAGTGTGAAAAGTATTATTGAATTTGTACCTTACAGCATCGGTGAATTGATCTGATTCTCCACCACGTTTTGCCAATTCCTTGGTGAACGACACCAACTCTGGATGACAAATGCGTCCAAAGAATTCATTGTTGCGATACCTAATATAGAAAAACATAAAATATCAAACAATTAAAGTTCGTAAAACATCAAAAAGTCATAAAGGTTTAAAAAAAATTGGCAAAGATCTGACAAAACTACTAACAAAATAATTTTGCCAGCACACGAAAACGTTCACAGGGAATGGATGAAAATAAGCATCTGTTTTAGTAGTCTCTCGAACAATTTCCGCGTGAACGAGTACTAACATGTCTGCATATTTATGACTGCTTCTTCTTCAGGCATAAACCGAAAATACCAGTCATACCAGTCAAAGAAAAATGATAACTCAGTATAAAAAAAATTAATATCTTTAGTTTTCAATTTGTTGGTGGAGCGGAACTCCCCAAAAAACAAATCTGAGTTTTTCACAACCTCTGTGGAATAGATGAATTTTTTTGTACACAAAGAAGAATGTAGTAAACTATAAATATATGTAAAAGCAAACCCTATAATAGCAAAAGAAAATGATCTTCAAAGTATAACAAGTTTAATATCAGTAAACCTAGTAGGTGTTTAATTATATTGAAATAAAATACATATGATAATGAAGACCAGGGGTGTGCAACCTTTAATACATGAAGACCAGATACAAATACCTGGGTGAAACCGCGGGCCGCACCATTATTTAACATAGACTCTCTAGTCTAGTAGTTCCAGGCCCAAAATTTTTGTTATTTATCTCATGACAATGGTTTTCGCTTCGCCCAAGCATAGATTATAAATTGGACTCAGGTATCGGCTTGAAATTACTCGCAGGTACCAGGTTAAACTAAATTAAAAACTCGTCACGCGGGCCGCACAATTTTTCACTGTGGGGCGCATTTGGCCCGAGGGCCGCAGGTTGATATTGAATCTCGGATTAAATATCGGATTAAACTTACCAAACACATGAAACAAAGTAGTCAGACATTGAATCAGCAAAGGGAAGCAAAGCCAAGAGAAATGAGAAAAACCAAGCAACAACGATGGCAACTTGGAGAAAGATTGTGTTCTGATTTTTGAAAGGCCTGTATAAAAATAAGTTACATTGTTAGATTTTGAGATAAACACGCAGAATTTTTGTTCATTTTGACAAATTGATGCAGATGTTCTGATATTGGCGATTACTTTTGACTTGCATAAAACATGACGCAAATTAAAGCAATATTCGGAAAAAAAAATGATAAAATTGTTTCGTAATTTTCTTCAAAAGTCGAATGCAAGAATTTGTTGTAATCTCTGAATCTCTGAATACAAAATTATGATTATTGCTGCAAGTGGAAAAAGGATGAAGGAATTTAATCAGATATTTTATTTTTTGATACAGTGCTCAATAGCGCTTTTCGCAACGATCAAAGCCATGTACAAGCGGCCATCGATATCTCAGATATGAAAGAAGCCGCTGTTATTTGGAAGAGCTGGAATATTTTCAGTTCGGTATTGCCTACCCAGTTTATTACACCCTGGGTGAGGTTGGTATATTCAGAAATAATGACAAATGATTTGCTCAATGGGCGCTCCATAAGTATGTGTACCAATATGGAGGTAACTGATTTTGTTCGCCTAACTCACATCAAGTTTGATAAAGGGACTGTAACATATGGGCAGGGATCATGGGTATATCCACATGGCTACCACAGGCAGTCCCCGAACTTGTAATTGAACTAAAATAAGGAAAATCGGAATAACATTATGGACTAACCCTAACCTGGTACACACACTACAGGAGTACCACCCAATGTTCATTACTTTTAAATAAAATTCAAGTTATAATTTCCACATACTTTACAACTAGGTACAATCTATAAGCCGTCATGATCATCAATATAAACACCGAAGTTTCCGTTCCAATGAGAGCAATCGTTCCTAGAGCAGAGCAAGTGCTACTACTGCGCCATTCCTGATCAAACAAACAATATTCTCCTATTTTTGCATCTTGTATTCCAAGAGATACCAGATAAATCTAAAAACAAAAATGCAAAAAATTACTGATGACCGTTGAATGATTGGAAATAATATTTTACTGCAAATGCAATAAAGTTCGCTTGTTTACATCATCACTTCAAATGGCGCTCCAGAATCATGTGTACCAAAATAAAGATAACTAGTTTGGTTCGCCATCAAGTTGTGTAAAGGCATTGAATCCTATGGACAGGGGGATATTCACTTGACTAATACAGACAGTCCCAAACTATTAGAATTAAAATAAAAAAATCGGAATAAAATTATTGCCCAACCCTAATCTGGTACACATTTTTCGGAAGTACCCTTTAAACATCTGAATTATAACTACAACACAACTGATATCAGTTGATTAATGATTCGGCATACATTTCACTAATAATTGAACAAAGTTTGGTGATTTACCATCAAATTAATAATCTGAATTATAACTAGATCGCAATATCTTCAAGTTTCTTGTAGCCTACAGTATTTGGCAGGGTTTTACAGTCTTATCGAAATATGAAAATGGAGTATAGAAATTTAGCTGCTATCAGAGTCGATGCCGGAGTATTACTCCGGAGACAAGGTTAAGCTCTGTTGGTGCTTAGATCAAAACTACTTTTATCGGAAAAAAACGCGTTGAATGTACAGTCGTATCAAAGCCTGAAATTGAAGGTTTTTGATATTGGAGTCGACAAAATTGAGCTTTTGCAGTTCTTAGTTAATAATAACGTCCATCAGTTTCAGGTGCTATAAAATCATTTTTTTATAAATTCGGATGAAAATCTTGTATACGTTGCTTCACGTGTTGACTTTACTTGGGTTAAATTTGGAATTTCTAGTTACAAGTCAATTGAAACTTCTTTGTACAAATGTATTGCGAGTTTTAGTATATCTCCCACTCTCATAAGATTATTTCATCATATATAATTGTAGAAACCATTCACAATATTGTTATTGTAAGTCGAACCCCTGATCTATTACCTGGAAGTATAACAAGGGTCCATTGTTTTAACCATATATATATATATATAGCTATTGCCCAACAATATTCTGTAAAAAATTTAGTCAATTCCTCCCAAGTAGCTTGTTCTATATACCGTTAACTGTGAATCTTGAATTTGAGGGAGGGCTGACTCTGACGAACTTATGGTCGTATCGCTCCCGCCAGTCTATACCGAATTAAATTGTGTAATATATCTATATATATATTTGTACCATTGCTTGTTTTCTGGTTGACAAAACAATAAATCTCCCTCTCTGTATCTATTGTCTCGAAATTTTCTCGCAATAATACGATAACTTACCCCGACAAGGATATCCGACAATGAAAGATTCAAGACCAGAGTTCTGTTGATTTTTGCAACCGTGCTCTGGTTTCCATCGGGACGAATCAGGTTCTTCAATTGGTGGATAATGACCAGCAGATTTCCGATTACAGCAACCAAACCTTAGACACGAAAATAAGTTTGAGAACTAAAATTAATGCATTAGACTGAATTAAGTAACCGTATCGGGCTAAGTAATAAAGAAACAATTGACATCGCGGTGATGATTACTCTGCCTGGGTTTCCAGCCTCAGTTTCCGCGTATAGAAGAAATTAGGTTCACATGATTACTGGTTTTGTATTTGTTGGTTAGATTTGAAAGAAGTGGTAATTTACCTAACTACTAGAAATTATTTAATGAATAAATAAATAAATTCAATTTGTTTGAAAATCAAAATATATATGACAAACTTCGATTAGATTCGACTAGATTTTCACAGGTGTATTCATTATTCAAAATTATCTTAAGAAAATTATTTTTAAAATAACATTCATGCCTAATAAAGAGAGAGGTTAATGTTATGTAAAAAATAATTTTCGAATTCGAATTTTCGAATTCATTAACCTATTAAACTTCTTACCAATAATCCACAAGAATACAATCAGGATTCTTGAACTGATTAAACTTTTATCAGACGAGAAAGGACTCGGATTGCAATTCTGACATTCGTCGGAACCTTCATCGCAGTCTTGAGTTCCGTCACAGACCTACAACATTGAAAATTGTGATAAATGTAGTTTATTTGTGGGAAACATAGAAGACCACGGAGGTTTCAAACATGAGCGTCATTTGTGATGCTGAACTTTTTGTCTATATCTTGTGAAGTTATTATTGTGTAAGACATGGCGTGTTAGGATAATCGCGTCGCACCTGCGATCCTATTGCGTTGTTAGTGATGTGATAAATTGCGAGAATATGACCAAGCTGGCATATGACCAAGTTTCAGGCTCTTTTCAAGCCATAAGTGGATACGCAGCGTGGTCGCTAGTAATGCAGAAAATTTCATGGTCAGATGAGATCACGAATAAAAAGCGTATTGATATATATTGAATTGGAACGATATTCCACGTTACCTTCAAATCGCTACACGCGCTTGGACTAGAATAAGACAATGTTCTGAATTGCACGAACGACATTTTGAGCATCTATGAGTGTAATAAAACATATGCTTTTAATGGAACTTTGTATGAGTTTTTACTTGCTAAAACAAAGAGAAGCTTGAAAAATTTTCTGTTTTCTCGCGACCACCCTGATTTTGTAGTTATTTATGTAGATCCTTAGTCTGTTTCCTACTTTTGAATGAGAGCATCGAAATGGGTCAATTTATGAACGAATTGTAGAATTGTAAAACTAGATTTCTTTTATTTTGTAATATCATGATCAACTTTTAATTAAATTAAAAAGTGAAATTTACCTCAGAACGTCTAACGAACAATGTCGAACCCTTATCTTTACAGTAAAAATGCGAGACATCACTGCAGTTCAATTCATCGCTTTGATCATCGCATTCCTTTAATCGAAAATAAAAAAGAAATCGTAAAAAATAATTCTTCTCATAATACCATAAAATAGGTATCAAAGTTACTGAATTCTTAAAAAATATAGATGTTTTAGGTATTTATCTCAGGATTAATATAAGATTGATTTTTCCCATCTGTAAGTATACAGCCAATTATAATCCAGTGTTCAGAACTACCAGGTCGTCCTGGGCAATCTTATGTTATTCATTCTTAGGTTTTTATTTGCTTTTAACGGTCACGTAAGGGCTTTATTATATCTTTAAAAGATTTTAGTTATCGTATTCCGTTCACCAGAATATTTTAGCATATACATCAGCCCCAGTTAGTATAAATTTTATTTATGTAACTGGCAATTTAAAATAGCTTTGTAAAATTGCAAAATCTGTACCTGGATGCCATTGCATTGTCCACTCATAGGAATATGGATGGGTCGTCTGGTTGAGCCTTTGTTTGCACAGTAAAATCTGCAAAAGGTGAAATTTTTTAAAACTGTGCCGGACCGAGTGGAGGTCAATGAAGGTACCCTCAGAAATAGGCATTAATACAAAGCACAAAAGGTATATTTATTATCACAAAAAAGTTTTAATTTTCAGAGAAAGAGTAAATTTAGTAATTGAACACAATTATGACTCTTTTAAATCTCCTTTTCTCAACAATTCTCATAAACGCATTTTTTGTTTAAATATATGAATACTAAAGCATGAAAGGAAGGGAAATATTTTTAAATTGAGTAAGTCTTCATCGAACGCGCGCAGTCACTCAGAAGCAAAGAAGACTATAAGTAGCTATACTAAAGCTGTGAAGAAATTATGGTTGGTTAGTGAATACCAATGATTATTTCAATGCGGATCTTCTTTCTCATTTTTGCAAATTTAAATTATTTGTTCTGTACTTCTATACAGAAACTAACCTGTTTGGACAAAACAATTCGTCTTCTGATACTTCAGGTGTTGTATCATTACATGATGGTTTTCCATCGCAAATCTCCCGTCCTACGATTAGGGATCCAGAGACTGGACATCTAGAAAGTATACATTGAATATTAAACTAAATTAATGGAGCAGAAATCTGGTCACTATAAAATAAACAAGAAAACAAATTAGCAGTAGCTCAAAGAAGTATGGAACACACAGTATGCCGCTCGCTGCTCGATAACCAGTTTTGGTTTCCCGCGGCTTTTCTTCCCCAGTAATGTAAATATCATTATTTTCTTATATATATTATTTGCATGTTTTTTGTATTTTACTGGTTGGAAAAAATAAACCTGACTTGAATTGACTATGAAAGGCCGGTAGGCAGGACAAATGTGGATGCAATCTGCCTGCAGTGGCATGAACAGGTAATGATGATGGGCAAAATAAGGATTTTAATCGGACTGTATTGGTATAAACATGTCCCGATATTGGAATAGTATTTGTTTAATTGATTTCAAACGTTTAATTGATCTCAAACGAATATAGAGTGAATGAAGAGTATTGGAATAAGCAATCAAAACATCTTCAAAATTTATTTGTCAATTTTTATTAGCGGTTCATTTCTTAATGATTAAATACGGATGTAATACCGGAAGTAATTAAAAGGTCGAAATAGATCTCAAAGTTTCAAGTTTCAATTTCCATGGTCTGAAATTTTTTTGTTCAAATATCAATGTTCGGATGGTCTTACTTGGTTCGGCATATGTGTATAGACAGCAGGTGAATGGTGAACTGACGAAAAATCGAATATATGTCATTGTACAAAGAAGATCTTTGCACACTACACAAATGATCGTTCTATAGCCTTTTTCGGACGGAATTTAAAAATCCATCAAATAAAAATGGTTTCTTGCAGAACAGCAATGAAGTTTACGTTGCTTCAGAATCAGCTTGTTGCAAATTTCTTATAAAGTAATATTTTTTATTAATAAACAAAAAAACACTCGTGCTTACCTAAATGCTTCGCCAAATCCGGATACAAATTTACAATATCCAGGCCTGTTACTTTCGCATTCTTTTGCATAGCATTCGTCATCCAACTCCCCACACATCGGTACTCCATCACATCGAGTTGTGTAAAATGGATAATCAGGTGGAAGTTCTGAAATATGAAAACAAGAATTCGTGCTGGCCGATGGATTTGTGATTTAAGTATCTTCGAACTGTGTAACTTACAACTGTGTAGATAAAAGTTTACCATTAATTTGAATAAAAGCTCTTCCATTTTTTTTAGCTGAATATCCATTTATCATCTTTCGGACCTAAGTATTTATCTATCATCCTCAAAAATGCCAGAACATTTTTTGTTACCCTGTTATCCTACCCTGTTACCCTGTTGCGTGAGATAAAAAAATGAATATATTTGAGGACGTCCACACCTAATTAATCAAACACGGTTCTTGACGAGCAGACAAATAAAAAAATTCTTTATTTTAGAGGGAAAAACAGGGTCGCTTTGTTACGAGAGAAGATGTTACGAGAGATACACGCTATAGGAAATTAGGAAATGCATTATTTGATATGAACTTTACACCCGAACATACTTCATCACCAATGTTCCCTCTAATTTTTTGTAGTATGTGTGCGCAGAAATTTTGGTGTGTGCGCACTTTTTTGGAAATGACTAATATTTGTGCAAAAACCAATGAAGAAATTTTGGCGTTCTAACCAGGTAATGGGTGGGCCAACAACAAACTTTGTCAACCTGCCAACCGAGAACATTGTAACATTACATCGAAATACGTCTGTGCGCAGTAAATCTATGCGTGTGCGCAGCCTCTGGAAGCTGTGTGCGCGCGCACACGCGCACACCTTAGAGGGAACACTGTTCATCACCAATATTTTTCAGTGAGTTTCTATAAGTTTTAGTCGGTTTCAGTAAATTTCCATTGGTTTCAGTAAGTTTCAAAAAGCCTTTTCAGTGTTGTGCAACTGAAACAAAAATTTCGGTGGTGTGCAAGTTCAGAAAAAATATACCGCAATTAGAAGGACAAGCACTTACCCCTGCCGGGTGGTATGCCAACCCACTGATGACTTGTTTGTGTCACGTTGTCCCAGTCTAAAAGGAATGAACAAGCAGAATAAATAAATAAGTCAAAAAGCAGAATATATAAATATGATATATTTATTGGTTGAATTATTGGATTTGTTGCTTGTGTCATGTACTGTGCTCTCTAATTAACTACTAAGTTTGGTTATTTTTTGAAAGTTTTGCCTCCATCCCTACGATTATAGTGCTATTATGTTTATCACACCTTTACTTACTCTTTTCGTTTCGAACATTGCAATGTATACGCAGCCACGGATATGTAACAATATGTAAAAAGGTGCAAATTTTCAAAGGACCAGAATTGGATTTCTAGTACAAAGTCTCCGCCAACGCTCATTTTAAGAAAATTAGCGAGTATCCAGTTAGAGTTAGGAATGCAGAATGTGCAGCGAATTCAAATTTTTTAAATCATTCCTAACCCCAACTCTAACCCCAAATGAATAATTACTAACTGTTATTTAAAAACGGGGCGGGGGTGTTTTTATCAAATCTCACATTTTTGCATTAGTGGCGGGATGCTTTGTACAAAAGATCCTCAAAATCTTTCAGATTGGTGACACTGCTTACTCAGTTTCTTACCCCTGGATTGGGTGGTAGACTTGTGATTCGAAACTGCGCGAAAGCACCATCTATACACGTTACGACAAGACCATCTGATGTTTTTTAATATTCATGACATTGTCCGGCTAAATAAAATAAAACAATATACCTGATATAAACGGAAAATTTATTCTGTAATATCTGCAGAAATAATTAGTCAATTCCTTGCAATGCATTTCGTCTGAAGCATCGGCGCAATTTGGTATTCCTGTAAAATAAAGATAATTTCAGTGGAATGCACATAAAAAATAATGATAACAAGTTTTTAGTAATCAGTAGTTTATTTTTCACCACATAAAAAATATGCACAAGCATACAGATTGCAATAAATTATAAGTAGACCATATTTTAGGGTGAAGGAAACGCGGAAAACCAGTACTGGTAATCGAGCACCGGCACCCATACAATAAGTCGAACCTAATTATATGTAAATTTGTAAATTGAAAAATTAAAATAAAAAATACCTCGAAAAGAGGAGACAGTGCGATGCATGGGACCGGTTAAAATACATGCCGTACGCGTTAGTGCGGCCCAGCAATTAAACCAGTACTGGAAAACACCCAGAATTCTCCACACGGAATTCTCTTAAAACTAATATTCTGCCATATTTTGCAAGCTTGTGAATAGTAAATACGTAGGCAAAAATTCGTGTAACTGCATGTCGTCATAAATATGTAAGTGAGGTTTCTGTGTATGGCAAGATTCCAACTGGGTCAAAATTTACATCCAAGATATTCTTTCTTGGACGGGGTTCTGAAGATGGGGATTGAATTTAAAATATTAAATCCGCGATATCGAAATATTGAGTTAATTGCTCTATCGACTGTTCTACTGAAAAATGAAAGCAAATTTGTAGCAACAGTTCACAATATACGAAATCGAACCGCATTATACCCACCATTGCAAAACAACGATTTTTTAATCTTCGTCTTCTTGTCATAGCATTCAAAAAGTTGATCGTTATCGGCGCAATACATTTCGTCTATTCCGTTTGTACAGTCGATTCTGAAAGACAATTTTGTTGGTATTATGAGCTTATGGTCTCGTCCCATGTTAACCAATTAACCTAATTAACTTATTTAGCCAATTAGCAAACTGTCTCGATTTGCGATCTTCGATAGTGTATTGAAAAGAATACAGCTAAATTTTGAATGAAATATCAATTCTCAAAGAATTCATAGAAAAGTAGGATAAACTAAAAGTAATAGCGTTGTAGCAAAAAAAAAAACAATCTTTGAGCACTGAAAAGTTCAGAGCCCATTAGGGAACAATGAATGCGATTTTTTTTTATAGCAACAAGGAGAAAAATACCAACAGAAACAACAACATAATAATATATTTATATATCCATGGGTCAAATTTGTGTCCGATAAAATTACTATAATATTACTATAATATAATAATATTACTATATCCCTGCATATCAATGACTGATTGTACAAAGCCTTGTTCGTAGCGAAACGCGTGAAACGTAACATTCAATAAATCACTTACACACTGTCACAGATTGCTTCAGAAGACAGACAGACTTTATCACTGATCGATGGCATAAAAGTTGTCACCGTGCTTTGTTGCGAACATGTAATTTCACCTTTGCAATCGCAATCAGTACCTGCAATATTTGCCAAAAAATAAATTGATTATTTTCACATTTACAATAAATTTGGGCTCTCCCGAAGTATGTGCACCAAGATGTCGCACAACCTGAATCCTAAATTGGTACACATACTATCTTCAGGATGTACGCAATCTTGATGCACACACTTCTGGAGCTCCAAAATTTGTGCTTTTGAATCTGTTTGATAACGAAGTGAATAAGGATTCTCTGTCTGAATTGTACCATCGTGTTCGTGTCTGTGAAAGTCTTATCAAAACGTTGCAGAAGCTTTTGTTAGTTTGGTATTCCCATAGTGTGTGTGTGTACCAAGTTAGGGTTTGGCCATAATTTTATTTCGATTTTCTTTATTTCAGTGCTGTTACGAGTTCGGGAACTGTCTCTATTACCCAAGTGAATATACGCACTGCCCATAGTAATTAGTCCCTTTACTTGATGTGAAGTAGGCGAACAAAATTAGTTTCCTCCATATTGGTACACACGCTTCTGGAGCGCCAAATTTTTCACTTGAAGTAGGTATCTTATTTTTGCTGCAGCATCTTAGTTAATAGCATTACCAGTATTCTGACTATTAATATTTTCGACCCTACAAATCAGATATTAGAATGTTGTTGCTTGATAACCATCTTTGGTTTTCCCTTCCCCGGTGAGTTGGCTGTTCAATTATATTCTATTAAATTTGGTATGCTATATATTACCGAACGGATATAATGAAATTGAATATAATAATAATCTTCGTTTCTTACCGTCACATACTGATCCACAGATATCCAACATAGTGTAATTCTTTTTATCTGTGCATAGACATTCATCAGACAGATCCTGGCAATGCACGATTCCATCACAAACTTGTGTTATAGGGATAATGAGAGATCGATCAAGACATCGGAAACATTTTTCGTTCGAGTACGCTGAAAAATTAGAAAGGGATTCAACTTCACGTCGGTTGAAGCTCACAACATGAGTCCAAATTCCTAATACTTCAAAAATATATTTTATGAATCGAAAAAAAACAGACATTTTAAATGTCAGCGTCTTTCAATTGATTACAAAGTTAATTAGATCAATTTATGGACATAAAGGACAAATGACTAAAATCAGCAAAATTCCAGTCAAATGTTATAAAAATTATACTGAATATCATATTAATGCGTGCTCATGAAATATATTGAAACGATCAAAATTTAGGGAGAAATTTAAATAAGAAAGGCGTTTTGTTTCAAGTTTACGAAGCTTAAAATAACGTTCTTAACCTTTGAACCCATAAATTATTAGTGGTAACACTCAGATACGCGCTTCTTAAACGAGAGGAAGCAATATATCAAATATAATCAAATATCATATTGAGTAATGCGTAATTAAACTCACGAAAACGGAAGTCGAATGCCTGATATGGCTATCGCCATGTCGGTAACATTACAGCTGAATGTTAAAAAAGTTTATTATATAAAGGTGTGCAAAAAATCAGAATTTGGGCTAAAATATTCGTGGGTGTATGATCCAGAAAACATTCGAAAAATTACTGAAAGTACTAGATTTTTAACAACTTCTGCCAGATTCAAGTATTGGTATTGTAATTGGTATCGATTGGTCGCAGAGTTTTGAAAAACGGGAGTCCAACGAAAACAACAAAAATTTGCACAACAAGAACTCCCAAAAAAAAAAAAATTGCAATCACAGATCTATTTTCGAGTCAAATAAATTAATTGATTAGCAAAATTATACAAAGAATTAAGTCAAGGCTGTGCACCATACTACGATTAAAACAGTATGCAGAGGGTAATCAAATCACCGACATAATATCCTGAAGTCATTTCAAGTCAACACAGTATTACGAATTCAAACTGACAAGAGCACACAACAACAGCTACAATTCGGCAAAATGATTCATTCAAATTTCAATTGGACTTCGAGTCCAATAAATTAATTGGAAACCCGATTTTAAAACCCATTTAAAGCCGACAGAGCACACAACAACAACAAAGGAAATATAGCAAAATGATACAAAAATCCACTTCGTGTCCAAGACCTTAATTAGAAACGGTATGAATGGTCGAAACAAAGCTAATTAATGTCTAATAATACTATTGGGGGCAAAGTGAATGGGATCAAATTGACAACTTTGGGTAAATAGTATATTTCAGTGATTTTAAACGGGGTTCTACCGCACCCTAGAGTTCCGCCAACACAGCCAGGGGGTCCTGCAAATTTCCATTCAAATTCTAGAGTCTATTCTAAATTAATATACATATATTGTTTGGTTTCATATATCAAATACCTATCAGAATTGCTCCTATTTTTTTAAGTTGCTAGACTTTTGAATCATCATGTCCTATGTTAGATATATACATTTATAGTTATCACAATCGTTTTTACATCATTACAAGTATTGCATAGGGGTTTCTCAAGCTTCCAGAATGTTTCACTCGGGTTACGCTTCGCCAAATAAATTGAAAACCACTGAAAAATACCATAATATATCATAAGGCCAACATATACTCACATTCATTCAAGTAAACTCCTTTCTCTCCTCCAGCGCTGAAGTCACAAAAGCATTCGTCAATCCCGAGATCGCAATCCGACTCGCCATCGCAAACATACCGGTCAGGTAGAATGCAATTATTCGTTTCGTGTGTGCTTGTTACTGGACACTGGAAGCCGATCTTCGTTGTCCTGAAATTTTGTAATCAGTCAGTAGTCTGTCAACAGTTTATTTTTACACATGCCGAAAATACGCATTGTACATACAGAAAAGAAAAGATTAAAAAAAATGCATTTTAGTGTGAAGGCAGACACGATAAAGCAGTAATGGTTTTATAGCAGCATCACCAAAACTGCTAAACTGGAAGCAATGACCAGGCGGTTGATGCAATAGATTAAACTATGTTGGAATCGGAGTAAAAATTTGTATCCGATGTTGGATTTATAGAACTGTTTTCTGCATCACTTCCCCAAATGAAATTAGTTGAAGGCCCTCTAGAACATGTTAGGCAGCCCACGATTGGGCCGCGACCCACAGTTTGCCTAACACTGTACTAGACCACCACGTACACAAGACGAGAGCTAACCTGTTATATTTTCTTTCATCTGTCCCATCAGCGCAATCTGTCCTCCCATCGCAAAATGTCACCTTTATCGCACAATCTCCGTTATCGCAGTGAAATGTGTGAGGGCAGCCACATTCATCTAGACCTGGCAAATATGAAATTATTTGTTGTTACATCTATAATTTACCTGAGAAGTTTAATATTCCGATCTTTTCGTATCAATACTTGCTAATAAATTTACTTCTGTTTAATAAAGAATGAAATTGATGCATTTCTATTTGAAAATATAAATAACACTCTGCAATGACGTCTCAAAATGTCGTTTCAAATATGTCCTATATATCCCACTCAGCTGTCACTTTTGCAGGGGACAGGTGAGGCGAGTAAAACACGTGGGACAAGTAGATATATTGAGACAAGTGTGGCCGTAAGGACAGTTGGGGTATTGAGACGAGTGGGTAAAGTGATACATCTCAGAAAAGTGTGGCAATTGGGACAAGTGACATATAAGCACGGTGTCTCACAAATTCATGTCTCACGTGTCCGGCTTATCTCTCCCGCTTCCCGTCACAATTTCTCATGCGGTCCATAAAGATAGTTTACGCTGTCTGGTCGCTCTTATCGAATGAGAAATTCAAATTTTGTTGTATATTCTCACCTCCGACGCAATCCATCTCATGGTCGCATAAATATCTATCCGGTAGATGGCAGTGTTTATCGATTCTTTCTTGTCGTAGATATTGGCATTTCATTCCCAACTCGCTAGACTTAGATTCGTTAAAAAAATGTTCGTCGCTGTTGTCACTGAAAAACGTTAAATCTTCGGTTTACAATCTCTTTTCTTATATTTATCCCTCTGCCTATTTTCGAAATCTTCATTCCTCCCGGATTATGCAAAATAAAATTCGTTTCCGTTATATATGCAATTTTAAATGGATACTTTAGTGTCCCGCAAAAGTCGGGCTCTTGCTTGCTCGATTCGTCTAAACCAGAGGTAGGCAAGGTTTTACGACCAAGGGCCAAACATTTTGCCTAGAGTAGACTTGCGAGCCATGTAAGTGTGACGTAAAAATTTACATTTCATAACCAATATTTACAGAATTACGTAAGCAAAAGTGGAAAACAATAAGCCTCGTGCCACAACTAAATTTAATCACAATCTCAACGATTTTTTTAAGCTATGTTTCAGCTAAAACATAAAAATTTGTTTTCAATTTGGTTGAGGAAGCAGCAGACGGGCCAGATTGAATTACCCAACGGGTCGGATTTGGCCAGCGGGTCGTCCAAACAGATTCAAATAATTTACTGTTCGATTAGAAATGCCTAGACCTAACCACAATAGTGGGTGATTTACCGCTTCCAATACTAATACTTCCAATAACTAAGGCTGGGATTTTTGAATCGAATTGAATATTTTTTCCCAATCGAATGAAATCTCGAAAATTTAAAAGATCTGTAATTATATGTGACTTTTATTTAATTTTAATCGGTCATTCATACATATAAATTACTATAAAACAATGCACCCATCATTCAGACCGTTCTATGAGTATCCACACGCAATAAGAAATTTATTTCATCAATAAATCACTAGGAAGAAAATAATATTATATCAAATTTGCATATTGAAAACGTGGCTCAAAAAATAAAGGATTTACTTCAACTATTGGCGGATAAAAAACAAGATGGCGGCGTTCTAAAATTTTTGTTTGAAACGGTTCGAATAATTTACCACTAGATTCGAAATGCTCGGTTCCACCATTATTCGTTATTTCACTAAAATTTACTCACGGGCATAATGAGGTTCCATTGCAGAATGTATTTCTTTTGACGCAAGTTTTCTCGTCATTACATTGATAAAGAAGTTCAGTCGTTGTGTTGCAAGGAAAGACTGGAAACGAAAAAAAATTAAAAGTTCATAATGTTTACACGTTTTCGCTCGGAACAATGCTCTGGACAAGAATCTGGAGTTAGATTACAGTGGTACTCAAACCTCTTTTTTAGAATTCTTCAAGTCCCGCGCCACCTCTTAAATAACTAGCTAACAATAAGCTACAAATAACAGATAGTAGGGCGAGAGTATGTTTGATTCAAAAACACGTGAAATTAAGTCAATGGAATCGAAATCTTCAAACAATAAAGAAATCTAAATATCCGAGTATGACGGGCAAATTAAAATCAAACAAATATTTTTATTTTTAATTAGCTTTGCCCCACGTCCCCTCAAAAAAAAAATGTCTACAACCCCGTTGTGGGGCGCTCCATCGTTTAAGAACCACTGAGTTAGAATTCTCGTAGAAAGACCGAAATCCTTTTCTTGTGTCGGGATTGAAATATTTGACTGGGCTGTCCTAAACGAAACTTTCAAATTTTATATAAAAAAGTGTTGCACGTTCAAAAATTTTGAAGACTATTATTTGTTCTGTTAGCAACTCCACTGCATTAGTGAATCTTTTTCGTGTGTCGGGGATTGGATTTTTTAATCGCGAGCCAACAGAATTTTTAAAATTTTAGCAAATAAATAAAAACTTTGAAGACTATTATTTGGCATCCCCATGGCATTTCTGGTCAGTATATAGGAGGCGTAATAACTTGGGAATGTAAATCAATGTAACTATTTGTTTATGTAGTTGCAGTCATGCGAAGATTATTGTAGCGCGTTCCAAATCAGACCACAATAATTGTTGTGCTGCAGTGTGTTGTTACTTTATTCAACTCTATACTCATCGACCCGCTTGCAGTTAGCATCAGCAATTCGATACGTTTTTGTTTTTCCCATTTTAATAACATTTACTTGTGTTGTTTTTTACTTTAGATTCATTCTAGGTGAGCTTTAGATTTAATTAAGTTGAATAAAGCCATGTATCGAAGTAATCAGTTTCCAATTCATAACAGCAAGCACTCATGTGACCTCCGACGCCAACACAATTAGGTACATAGCTCTAACCGCTATATCATTGTGTATTGTATACAAATTACTTTAAGGTTATTCATATGCAATTGAATAATGCTAATTCATAATATAAATGCAAATACGCCAATATGTCTGACAGTGAAAGAGGTGTCATTTTTTCAGTTTTCAGGTCTAAACCAATAATTATTGAACTATCAAATGGAGGTTACGTGAGACACGCTGTCCTTGCGAATTGCGAGTTGCGCGTTGCGCGAGTGGATCCGTATGCGTGTATGGGTGATGCAGCAGAAATATAGATGATTAACTGTTCTTTGAAATTCAAGAGTCTTGTTACACATTAACACAAATGTAAAATTGTAACCTTTTATCCGAGGTCATAGGCGAAACGTTACAGAAATACACTTCGATACTTATTCATTTGACGCTAAGCGATGACGACAAAATTAATGAATTCATGCATGACTTACTCTGGCTTGTCACGTAATGTAAATGAAGTACAAAAGCTGCAAGAAGAAGAAATCCACGATGTGATCCTCGCATTGTAAATTGGTATAATTATTACCTTGTATGTAGTAGATTATTATTAGTTCATTAAGATCTGAAAAGTGCAAAATGCAGCACAATGTAATAACATAATAGTAAAATTTAAATGGTAATTTAATTCAATATTCTGTTATTTTACCTATTATATCGACAAAACTTCCTACATCAAGTCGATTCATATTCGTATAATTCTAATCGTAGGTTTTTATATTATTGTACCTATACTATCATGTTCTATACTACAAGAAGACTCATATACAAAGAAACGGACGGCCTGGAATGGCAGATAATCATTCCTATGTTTAAAAGCACATTGAGAGTTTTGGCAACATTTCCAGATTTCGCTTCGCCCTGCATGTTGTCGTATGTATATAATGGGCGCGCTAAACTTTTTTTCGTGATAATAAAAAACAAGTCATAGACTGCGCTTAATCACGCAATGGTCAGACGAGAACCTTGGCGGGAAAGGGCATACCGACTTTGTTGACTGACCATCACCACAGTCAGTCAAACAAGACTATGCACGTATTGTCACACGTTGCCCAATTAGATGACGAATCATGGGTGTCGCTGCTCGATAACCAAATTTGGTTCCCCGCGGCTTCCCTTCCCCAGTAAAAATGTGTGGTAAATTTTGTTTATCTTTTGATTTTGTATGTTATTTTTTTGCTGGTTGGAAAAAATAAAATTGACTATGACTATGGCATAAATTGAAAAGGCATCGCCCTCTTCTAGGCCTGCTGTGTGTATTGTAATGTTTTATATTATGGCGGAATTCAAAATAAATTACAGTATTTCACGGCTCATAAGGTGCACTGGGATATAAGACGCACCAACAATATTTTTTTCTAAATTGGGGTTTGTCTGTACATAACGCGCAACGAGGATACGAGTCTTTAGTGTAGGCAATAAAGAATGAAGCACTACCTGATCCATACATAAGGCTTATGAGGCGCTCGATCGATTTTTGTGAAAATAGGGTTTAAGCGCGACTTTTGGCCCGTAAAATACAGTATCTCATCTCATCCTATTTTAACAACTCCAGAAACCTCCAAGAGTATGCTTTTGCCCCTGATACACTGAGCTCAGAAATGCAATGATTCCACTGTCGGTGCTTGATGGATATAAAAGAACCTATCGTTTTGCAAACGTATGGAAAGCGCGTATTTGGGTTGTATATTGACATATTGTTTCCGTGCAGGTTCGTACTGAAAACTATAAGTTCAAATAAGTTCAAATACTACTTGAACAGCTTGAAGTGGAATGAAAGATTCCATTTTTTTGCTAGCGTATTAAAATCGCGTATTTGTGTTGTATATTGACATATTATTTCCCTTCAAATTCCCACTGGAAAGTACAAATCCAAATACTACTTGGACAGCTTGAAAAGAAATAAAAGATCCGATCTTTTTGCAAGCGAATGGGAAGCGCTGACTTGAGTTTGTATATTGACATATTATTTCCGTTCAAATTCCCACTGGAAACCTCAAGTTCAGATACCACTTGAATAACTTTCAAACAATATTGTCAAACGATCTCGCGTATTCATAGAATCATACAAATTGCTTCAAAATAAATATAATAGATTCCATCACTATGTCAACGCTTGATGGTCTCAGACTTGAAGTGAAATAAAAGATCCCATCTTTTTGCAAGCATATCGAAAGCGCGTGTTTGTGTTGTAAATTGACATAATATTTCCGCTCAAATTTCTATTAAAAACTACATATCCAAGTACTACTTGAACAACTTTCAAAACAATATTGTCAAACGATCTCGCTTATTTATAGAATCATACAATTTGCTTCAACGTAAATACAATAGACTCATCAACATAGACAGGTACAAACAAAAGGTTTCAGTTCAAAAATTTGATAACGTTGGTTAAACATACATTGTTAAACTAACAGTGTGAGTTACCATGCACCGTCATACATTGCAAGGCGTGTATACGGAAATCGCTTTTCAATATGAGACCGACTTTCAAGTTTTCAAGAACTCAGAGAGTGAAAATTGAAGTTTATGAACATTGAACGCTTCTACAAATTGCAATGCATAAATATTGAAACATAAACGACAGGAGCTGCACGTTGCACGCATTGACAACAATCGATATCTGCTCATGAGTTTCGACTGCTTTCGACCCTCTGTTCATGAGTTAAACTCTTCGAGAGACAAGTCGGAATAAACTTGAACGCCTTTCAAACGAGCTAGTATCGCTTAGTTTTTCCGAAGATGCACATTTTTTAAATCTAGCCAGGAATTGTGCATGGTTTTGCAAACTCTGAGACTTACACATCGGGCTATCAATCTAGAAAAATTTTTGTTTTCTGTGACAACTATTAGGTTTTCAGGTTGAGTATTATAAATAATAAAAAAGGATGGTCATTATGCATATATCAGAAGAAAGCACAATCTGAGCTATTTAACTGGCTTTCGATGTTAGAGAGCTTTATGAGACAAGAAAATCGGATTTCTAGGTTCAAGAATGAGATAAGTACACAATTTCAAAAATTAAAGTTTAGGAATATTAAACGCAACTAAAAATGGCGATACTCATAATTATCTTAAAATACATCACAGCCTGATCTTTTAAATTCGCATTTAATAGTCTTCGGCAAGGCTTGTAAACCGCCTTTCTGATTGCAAAGCTCATAGTGTGAGAATTGAATTTTATGAACACGCAACTAGAAACCATAATACCTAAAATACTAAATCAAAAGATAGCATTCGCTGCACGTTGCAGGCAATGACAACAATCGACTTCTGTGTAGGCTTCCTTCCGAGTAAAACTCTCCGAAGGATTGGTTCATCATTTCCTTTGCAACTCCTACTCGAAACTACAAGTCCAAATACACTTGATTGCCTTCTAAACGAGCTTAAACTTTTTTCAAACTCAGCAAAAAATTGTGATCGTTTTCCGTTTTCCTACGAGACGAAAGGCGGGGGCAAATAGCTCAATACAATACTATACCAACTCAACAGGGATCTGATATTTATATTTACCATGTTGAACCGCAACAGTCAGCTAGTCCGCCCATAGGCTTTGAAACGTGGGGCCTAAAATCGATTCAAGCTACGAAAAATTTCTTTATATGATACAAAAAAACTGCCTTTTTCCTACATTTCAAAAATGGGGTCCGACCTACTAACTACGATCCTGTAATTCAATCTTATATATAAGATTGCCGGGCCAAGAGCACGTACAATACAATATCATGCATATATAGTTTGTGCATTAATGGTAACTCCTATTTTTAATGGTAACTCCTGATGTCTAAATTTAAGTTTCTTAGGTTCTGTGCTATGCTTACAATCACACGTAAGTGTATTACATATGGAAAGACTTCCGGTCTCCTCAAAAAATGTAGTTTAGCACATCTCAATAAAACTTCAGTTTCTAAATATTACTAAGAATGGCGATATCTTTATATTGAAGCACAACCCAGTCTCAGTGCACTTTGCGCGCATTAATAACAGCAACAATTTTCTGCAACAAACGAGTTTCCTCTTTTGAAAACGGTATCAAGTCATCCCGGTGTAATAAACCAATGACGCGAATCACGAAATTTCCATAAGCGTTTCCCATAGAATCTTGAGGTATTGTTTTCAATACGCGTCATATGCAATTAGGCGCCGGTATGGGATTTCATGTAAGGACGTTGATTAAACAGCCATAAACGCCATATGAATAGGCTTCATTTATGATCGTATTCAATATGGTCGCACCAATTTGAGGGTCCATGCAAGGATAAAGCGGAAAATGATAATTATGTACCCTACAAGGTTGCATGGATATCTTTAACTTATCCTCCCGGTTCAAATATCTTACCTAGTCTTTTAACAATGTATGGCAGGAATGCTTTAAGAATTTCGTTTTTCTTTTGATTAATTCACGCTATATATGAAATTGCGCGCCGATAAGCGTCTCCATGCAAACACGGTGATTAAACAATGAAGTGAGGCCATATGGACACGCCTAATTTATCTTCTAGCGGCTACAATTTTCCTGATCAGTTGAACATCGTATGGCAAGGATGCTTTAAGAATATCGTTTTTGTTTTCACTGATACACGTTATAATCAATTATCCGCCGATTTGGCACTCCATGAAGGGATGATAATCAAAAGCGATTTACTTTTATTAATTCTATTAACCTTGTGAGACCATATGCAAACGCTTAATTTACCAACTTTGAGCCGTATCTACATAAATGAGCGTCCATGACAAAGTTTAAGAATGCGCCACCTTGATCGTTGATTGACAAATTTTAACGACTGTTGTTGGATTGAGATACACGTACATGAGTATTTAGGTAAAAATATCAATTTCCAATTATTTCTAATTTGATATCATTTTATTGAGACATTGATTGAAAATTGTTTTCCACTTTTTGTGCCCTTTTTGTGCCCGACACGAGCCATGGCCGCCACACCTAGATGCGCAATTGTGTGCGATAATTTAAGACTTCATACGAAGACGGCAAACAGTGCTTTTACTTATATAAACGATGTGAGGCCATATGGATGAGTTTAATTTACCTTCCAACCGCTATACCTATATTACTTTTTGAACGACGTATAGCACGGATGGTTTAGGACTTAGGTATTTGTTTTCACTGATATCACGCTCCGATATGGGACCTCATGCAAGGATGATATTTAAACAGCGATGTGAAGCCATATGGATAAGCTTAATTTACCTTCTGTGCCCTTTAACCTTACTCTTTTGGCAATGCATCACAAAGATATTCTATTAGGTAGGAGGGTGAAATAATTTAACAAAATTCGAATTTGAAAAAATAGCCTCCTAGCGACAACAACAATCTGTAACCAATGAAAATTTCGAAGCAATTGGTTCAGTTTTCATGAGAAAAATACGAAGAATATTAACAACAGCAAAAAAAGAAAATATATCCATTGATCCTATTCGTGTCCAAAAAGCACACTCAAATGAAAAATCGAAATCACTTTTTTCTTCACGAAATTACCATTTTGCAAGAAATCTCATTTCGCGTGGTGCATGACATTTATAGATGTTAGAGTAATAAATA